CCCCCCCCCGCGCACGTATTGACAGGCCGCGACCTCACTAAAGATGCGGAAGAAGGTACACACACACACACACACGCACACACACACAGAGAGAAATAGAGAGAGAGAGAAGGATGCACCTGCACACACACACACATAGAGGCGCGCAGAGACGAATGTCTGTCTGTCTGTCTGTGTGCTGACAGGTCGTCTCGACCCCGTCATCGGCCGTCAGAAAGAGATCCAGCGGGTCATCCAGGTGCTCACACGACGCACCAAAAACAACCCCGTGCTCATCGGAGACCCCGGTCAGCGGCGCCCACACAGACACACCGCAACACCTGTGTGTGTGGATTGGTGTTTGTGTGTGTGTGTGTGTGTGCAGGCGTGGGCAAGACGGCGATCGTCGAGGGACTCGCGCAGCGAGTCGTGCAGGTGCGTCTTCACGTAGCCATCCATCCATTCGTCCATCCATTCATGTGTGTGTGTGCGTGTGTGTGCGTGTGCGTCGATCCATCCATCCATCCATCAGGGGGATGTGCCGTCTTCTCTCAAGGGCCGCCGCATCGTGGCGCTAGACATGGGGGCGTTGGTGGCCGGTGCGTCTTATCGGGGAGAGTTCGAGGACCGACTCAAGAAGGTGCTCGAAGAGGTCAAGGAGAGCAAAGGTACGCACACACACACACACACACACTGGCAGGCACTTCTGGTGACACCCATCCCTCTCTCTCTCTCCTTCTCTCTCTCTCTCTCTCTCTCTGTGTCTGTGTGTGTGTGTGTGCGTCTGATGTGCAGGCCAGGTGATCCTCTTCATTGACGAGATACACCTAGTTCTCGGCGCAGGTATCCATCCACACACATACACACATCACACTTGCATCTCTCTCTCTCTCTCTGTGTGTGTATGTGATGTGTAGGCAAAGGAGAGGGTGCGATGGACGCCGCCAACCTGCTGAAGCCGCTGCTCGCCAGGGGCGAAGTCAGGTGCATTGGCGCCACGACACTCGACGAGTATCGACAACACGTGGAAAAGGTCCGCACATCCACACACGCAGACACAGAGAGAGAGGAAGGAAGCAGTGACATACGAATGCACAGACATCGAGCCAGCCAGCCAGACAGACAGACAGACGGCTGATGTGTTGGTGTGTTGGTGTGTGTCAGGATGCCGCTTTTGAGCGCAGGTTCCAGCAGGTCTTGGTGCCAGAGCCGTCTGTCCAGAGCACCATATCAATACTGCGCGGTTGGTACCCCCACACAACCACACACATAGGGACACACACAGAGAGAGAGAGAAAGAGATACATCAACCCACCATCTCTGTGCGTGTGTGTGTGTGGATGGATGGATGGACACACACACACACACAGGTTTGAAGGACAAGTACGAGTCACACCACGGCATCCGCATCACAGACAACGCTCTCGTCGCCGCCGTGCAGCTCAGGTCAGCCATGCCAGCGTCGGGAGGAAGCCTGCCTCTCTCGACACACACAGACCGACACGACATGCACACACCTGGATGGATGGATGGACGTCTGGCTGTGTGTCTGTGTTGGGTGCAATGCAATGCAGCTCTCGGTACATCTCCGGCCGCTTCCTGCCGGACAAGGCAATCGACCTTGGTCGGCATTGTGCACACACACACACCCAGACGATGGCACCACACAACATGTGTCGGGTGCCTGTGGGATGTGTGCGTGTGTGTGTGTGTAGTTGACGAGGCGTGCGCGTCGGTGCGTGTGCAGCTCGACAGCAAACCCGAGAAGATAGACCAGGCAGGCCCACACACGCACACACACACACACACAAAGAGACTTGGTGTGTGTGTGTGTGTATCGGTCTGCATGATGCAGCTGGAAAGAGAGCTGGCGCAGCTGGAGGTCGAAGCAGAGGCCCTCAAGAAAGAGGTATACGTACCTCTGCAGGGACACACACACACTCACACACATCCTGCCTCTCTTGTCTGTCTGTCTGTCTGTCTGTGTGTCTGTGTGTCTGTCGTTTATCAGAACGACAGCAAGTCTCAGGACAGACTCAAGAAGGTCCGTGCAGACATCGGCGCGATTCGCGAACAGCTGGAGCCCCTGCAGGTACAGACAGCGGCTCCCACACAACCACACACACACACACACACGCAGAGAGAGAGAGAGAGAGAGATGGATGTGTGTGTGTGTGGAGCACTGCAGGCTCAGTACGCAGAGGAGTTTGAGGGCACCGAGGCCATCAGGAACCTACAGAAGCGCATCGACGAGGTGCACGGGCGGCTCACAGACAGACAGACAGACAGAGAGACAGACAGCCACACGCATGTGTGTGTGTGTGTGTGTGCAGGTGCGTGTGTCAGCCGACATAGCCTCGCGAGAAGGCAACAAGAAGGTACGCCCATCCATCCATCCATCCGCACACACACATGATTGTGGCGCCATGTGTGGGTGTGGGTGTGTGTGTATGTGGTTGTAGGAGGAAGGCAAGCTCCGCTTCGATCTGCTCCCCGCACTGGAACAAGAGAAGAAACAGGTGAAAAAAAACACACACGCGGGAACATATCCCACTTCACACACACTCTCCCCCCTCTCTCTCTCTCTCTCTGTGTGTGTGTGTATGTGTGTGTGTACGGTCTCGTTAGGCTGAGGCTAAGATCGAGAAGAAGAAGGCCTCCAACCGTGCCACCGACCAGGGCGCTATGCTCAGCAACGTCGTCGACGTCGAACAAATCGCTAATGTGGTCCGTTTAACCCCCTCAACACACGCATCCAGAGAGGGAGGGAGGGAGGGAGGGAGGGAGAGAGGGGACACAGACGCCATGCCATGTGCACACAGAGGGAGAGGGGGAGAGGGAACCATTCACACACACAGACACAGACACACAGACACAGCACGCGCCGGCAAATTTCCGCCACTGGCAAGAGTACTCGTGTGTGTGTGCAGGTGTCCCGTTGGACGGGCATTCCTGTGAGCAAGCTGACAGGGGGAGAGAAGGAGAAGCTCCTCAAGCTGTCCGAACACCTACACGAGGTCAGCCCGTCCGTCCGTCTGTCTGTCTGTCTGTCTGTCTGCCCGTCCCATGCTCCCGTATGTGTGTGTCTGTGTGTCACTCACTCACTCAGCGTGTCGTTGGTCAAGACGAGGCCATCGACGCAGTGGCCGAGGCCGTCCTCAGATCACGGTGCGCACCGACCCAAACGCACCACGCTGTTGTCATGTGTGTGTGTGGTCATCTGTGTCGTTCTGCAGTGCTGGCCTGAGTCGCCCTGGCCAGCCGCTGGGCTCGTTCTTGTTCCTGGGGCCAACGGGTGTGGGCAAGACTGAGCTTGCCAAGGCCCTCGCCGAAGAGGTAATCCACGCACACACACACAGACAGACAGACGCACACAGACATCAGACGTGTGTGTGTGTGTGTGTGTAGTTGTTTGACGACGAGAAGCACATGGTGCGGATCGACATGTCCGAGTACATGGAGAGCCACTCAGTCAGCAGACTGATCGGTAGGTACCTACCACTGCAGCCAGGCGCACAATCATACTCACTCCACACACTTCCCTGTCTCTCTCTCCCTCTGTGTGTGTGTCCATCCACTCACTCATCCACACACAGGCTCACCCCCCGGCTATGTGGGCTATGGCGAGGGCGGGCAGCTCACTGAGGCCGTCAGGAGACGGCCATACAGGTCAGGTAGTGGGTGTGCGTCGTGCTGAAGGCGTGCTTCAATGGCATATAAACGGTTGTGTGTCTGTGCCATTGCCATGCAGCGTGGTGCTGTTTGACGAGGTCGAGAAGGCCCACCCTCAGGTGTTCAACGTCCTGCTGCAAGTGCTCGACGACGGCAGGCTCACCGACGGACAGGCACGCACCCACACACATACATACAGACGTGTGTGTGTGTCATTCGTCCTCTCTCTCTCCCTCTCTGTGTGTGTGTTTAGGGTAAGGTGGTCGATTTCGCCAACACGGTCATCATCATGACCTCCAACCTCGGCTCGGAGCACCTCACTGCAGAGATATTCGACAGCAGCGACAAGGTGGGAAACGGGACCCATCAGTGTACGCAAAAGCGCGTGCCTTTCTCTCTCTCTCTCTCTCTCCTGTGTGTGTGTCTGTGTGTGCAGAGAGCCAAGCAGACGGCGAAAACACTCGTCATGACGGCAGTGCGGAAGCACTTCAGGCCAGGTGCGGCGTGTCTGTCTGCAGACAACTCAGACACACACAAACGGCTGAATGGTTTGTGTGTGATGGAGATGCGCAGAGTTTCTGAACCGCCTAGACGCACTTGTGGTGTTCGAGCCCCTCTCTAAGGTCAGTCAGTTTGTGCCTATCATCACCGTATGTCCAAATGCGGCTTTGTGTCTGTGTGTGTGTGTGTGTGTGTCTGTCTGCGTGTGCAGGTTCAACTACGCGACGTGATGAAGCTGCAGATGAAGGACCTGGCGAAACGGCTCGAAGACCGAGACATCACGGTACCTTCCCCCTTCCCCAAACACCCACACACACACGTGTGCTTTGGCGTGTCGGTCGGGTGTGTGTAGGTTGAATTCTCTGACGAGGCTCTCGACCGCATTCTGGCCGCTGCATACACGCCGGCATATGGGGCACGGCCACTCAAGAGGTGCGTGCAGCTGCGTGGGGGTTGTGTGTGTTGTGTTGTGTGTGTATGCCTGTGGGTGCGTGTGGGTGATGTGCATGATGGGTGCAGGTATCTGGAGAAGCACGTCGTTACACGGCTGAGCCGACTGCTGATTGCTGGGGAGCTGCCAGTACGCAGTCGTCTTCATCTCTCCCCCCCACACACACACTCACACGCACACAGAGCAATGCTCGTATGCACGTGTGTATGTGTCTGTGTGTGCATTGTCAGGACCACTCGATCGTGCGTGTTGCGCCCGACGACAGCCATCCGAAGAAACTGCAGATACACGTACCCGTGGGACACACACCCACACACACCCACACACACACAATGTGAATGCGCCCACCGTGTGTGTCTATTGCAGGTGTGTCAGAAGGACTTGGCAACGGGGAGGTGTGTGGCGGGCACCGAGAAGCTCCACAGACACGAGGTGCGTGTGTGTGTGCGGCTATGGATCACACACACACACACACACACAGAGATACGTATCGAGACACGTGTGCGTGTGTGGCTGTGTGTGTGTGTCAGGGTGACATTGATGACGTCGAGATGCCCATGGACGTCGACGACGCATCATGATCATGAGAAAGGCAGCCACGCGTGCGTGCGTGCGTGCGGTGCGTCGGGTGCTGATGCACACACATATGTATACGTATACGTATGTATGTGTAGGTGTACATATACAATACATACATACATACCTCCCCGTCTCTCGGTCGCGATCGCGGCCGCTCGATCGATGTGCTGGCGTGTGGGTGTGGTGTGTCCAGAACACAGAGATGCGATGATTTGTCATCATACAGACAGACAGACATCCACACACACGTAGTCCGCAGTGGGAGGAGCGGGTGGGTGGTGGGTGGTGGGTGGGCTTTTTTGCCACTGGTTGACGGAGGAAGGAAGGAACAGATAGATTTTTGGCAGTGAGTGCGTGAGAGCGGAGAGATAGACAGACAAACGAGACGACTTGTACGGACCGGATACATGCGATCCGATGCGATGTGCCATTTGGTGATGAAGCGTGTGTGCCTCAGTCAGTCCAATATATCTGCAGCTAGCTGGTCGGTGTGTCGGTCCACACACGCGAGCCCCCATACGACGACAAACCATTTCACTGATGGACACACTCATATATGCATCCACGCGCAATACCCTGTCTGTCTGTCTGTCTGGCTATGTACACACACGAAGTGAATGAGTGGTGGGGACTCAGTCAGAAAGTCAGGTTGAGAGCGTTCGGACCACTCGACGAGAACTTCAAGCCCTGACGATTGCCTGCAGCCGCACACACACACACACATACACAGATAGATAGAAAGAGAGACAGAGAGAGAGAGAGAGACTGATATAAACACACGAGTGTGTGTGTGTGTGTGTGATTGCTGACCATAGACGCCGGCCACTACTGTGATCGTCTTGCCCTTGGTCGCCTTCTCCATTTGTTCCGCCTGCGGGCAACACACACACAGACCCTCATCCCTCCGACAGACTCACTCACTCACTCACAGTGTTTTGTATCTGTGTGACCAGACTGGCGTACAGAGCCGCGCCCTCCTCCTTCATTATCAGCGAGTGGAACTGCAGCGCGTTGCCTTTGAGCTTGGCCGCCATCGAGGCCTGTGGCACCAGCGTCATCCACCAGTCGCCACACACGTCACTTAGCGACACCTGGTGGACGAATGAAACGATTGTTTGTGTGCAGACAGACAGACACAGTGAGCACACGACAGACACAAGTGATGAGATGGGTGAGTGTGTGTGTGTGTGTGTGCGTGCCTTCTTGCCGCTGTCGGGATCTTCCAGGTGGTTGCACGCAAAGAGCGCATCGACAATCTTCGCCACAGTCGATGTCGTGGCTGCAGTGCACAACACAACACAAGCAGAGAGATGCCATGCCGCAGGCTGTGCGGGTGGATGGGAAGGATGCGACTGCGTGTGTTGTGTGATCTCTCACGCACCCTACCTCCTTTCAGGAAGCATATGTACACGACGAAGCCGCGACCAAACTGCAGCCATTCCTCCTCGTTGTCTATCAGCAGCTGCCCTTCATCTGCAGCACTTACACACACATGCCATCCATCCATCCATCCATCAATGGGATGAGTGTATCTGTGCGCCACGAAGGAGGATGGCTCACCGACGCGTTGCACAACCACTTTGGCCGCCGTGTCGTTCTGGGATGTCCTGCTGCCGCCAATACCCGATGCATCCATCCTCAACTCAGCTGCTTGGGAAGTGAAGTGCCCGTTGGTCGTGGTCCCCAGAGATGCTGCTGCTGCACAGAGGCAGAGCCAATTGGGACGAGGAGAGTGCCGCACCTCTAAGCTCTCATGGTTTGGAACCCTGCCGATCGCCGCGCTGAGAGGTTTCTCCCATTGCAGGAGCGTATGGCGGCCGCTGCCGTGCTCTCTGAGTCCGGATGAGGCGTGGGGAATGCTAAATTGGTGAATGCGCCTGTGCAGCAGCAGTGGGCGGCCGACACACCCGGCACAGCTCGACGAAGTGTCGCCCTTGTGTTTGTCACCAGGCTCTTTCTGGTGCGTGCGAGTTTCTGCTGCAGGTGGCTGACGGGATGTGTGGCCTTTGCTGTGAGTATCACTGGTGTGATCATTTCATTCCCGTCAGGGCACCCATGGCGGAACCGAGGGCGAGTGAGTCAGTCAGGCAGCCAAACACTCACACATCGGCCGGCGCATCACATCAAAATCGGCCGGGAGCGGACCGGACAGCACCACAGGCACTCACACCGAGACCCACAGGCAGCCAGCCATTCGGTCACACAGCAGCAGCAGCTGGTCCACACAGTGAGCGGTGGGCGATGTGTCCTGAAGAACAAACCGATCGGCGACAGAGATGAATGACGACAGCCAGCACCCAACTTGAGATGCCCTCCTGACAACACACACACACACACACACACACAGAGGGCAGGGCAGCACTCAGCCACATGGCGACAGAGGGGATGTATCGCTGCGCACCCACCAGTGCGTGTTGGCTGATGGATCGGTCAGCCGCCGCCCTCCGCCTCAGCTGCGCCACCCTCACCTGCCCAAGGCACACACACACACACACACACACACGATTGTCATGGAGGTCGACGTGAGGGCCTCTGTGGTGTGTGCGGCTGTGTACCTCCGCCGCCCTCTCCGCTGCCGTCATCCACACCATCACCAATCTCATCGCCGCTGCCATCGTCCGAATCTGCAGATACCACGCACAGACAGACAGACAGACAGACAGAAGGCAAGTCTTTCATCCATCTGTGTGTGTGTGTGTCCGTACCATCGTCGCTGTCGTCATCTTGCTGCTGCTGCTGTTGTTGTACTTGTCCGTCGAATACGAATGGCGCCACCGCCCCCAACGCCACGCGAGCCAGCTGAGTGGTCACCGGGAAGCGGTGCTTGAAGGCACCACTCTCACACACAGCCCCCTCAGTGGTCACCACATGAACACTCACTGCAGACAATGAGAGATGAAGACAGATGAAGACGCAACATGCGACGAGCAGAGCTCTCTCCCTCTCGGTCACTCTGAGCGGCATTTCCCGATCTGATGATGGTAATCAACGCGACGAAGGGATGACTGCCATCGGTCAGCACCAGCTGCCGCGCCACACCGCCCAAGCCGAGTGTGGTCGCGCAGCCGGCCACCCGTGTGTGGGGCGACTGCGTCAGGAGGTCGTGGAGACGGCCGCTATCACCAACACCTCTGAACACACAAAAACCAACAAATGACTTCTGATGGTTTGCTCGACCCCAAAGATATCGTCGGTGTGCTACCTGTTGAGTGTAGTGAATGTGTCATTGATCTGGTGAGTCTTGTGGAAGTGTTTGAGAATTATGAACTTGGCAAATGACGACACTGACGAATCGATGCGCCCCAGGTCACCGAATGCCACCCATCTGGCGTTGTCGGTCGAGTAGCCGATGGAAATGCTGCGCACTGGTGGGTCGTGTGGCTGTCTGTGCTGCTGGTACAGGTGGCCGGGAAAGGGAAAGAGAGGCGGGTCGACTTGCAGCTCGAAGCCGGGCTGGTCGATGATGGCCCTCACCTCACCGTTGCCGTGGTGGAACAGCTGCAGGCAGCTGCCGTCACTGAAGTGGATGTGGGGGCCGACCATCTTGAGCTGCGCCAACACACGGGGAGCCGACACATACGCCTACACAGACACAGACAGAGAGAATGAGGCTCTTCTCCTTTTGTCCCCTCCCCGCCCCTCTGTTTGCTGGCTCACCGTTATGTTTGCGTGTGTGTTGATGTCAGCCCCACTGAGGGTCACAGGCAGCTCACAATTGCCGCACTGCCCCGCCAGCTCAATCACCTCGACCATCTCGCCCCAGCCCCCCTCCTCCACCACACACACAGCCGCCAGCAGATCATGTGCGCCGAACTGGTCGTCGTCGAACCGCAGCAGCTGCACTTGCTGCTGCCCATTCACATTCGCCCGCCGCAGCCCCGCATGTGAGCCCAGCGAGTGGCGGAGCCGATCTCTTAGCTGGGCCGCTCCGAAGAGCTCTCTGAGCCAGGTGCAGATGGCCCTCAGCCGCAGGATGTCCTTGATGCTGCTGAAGAGGTAGAAGGTGCGGCGGCCGACGAAGATATACGAGAAGGGGTGCTGCTGCTGATGCTCTGGTTGCTGCATGCGATGGATGGGCCAAGACGGTCAGATGAGTGGGGCGGTGGTCGACGAGAGGCTGCACAGAGCGACAGAGCCGGCAGAGGATTATGTCCATCGAGCATGCTGCTCACAGATCTGTGTGTGTGCTGCTCATCTCGTTCGATGCTCAGATGGACAGATCAGAGAGAGGTCAATGAGCTAACACCACCAGCGGCAGCGGCAGATGAGGAGGCCGCCATCGGTCCTCAGCCACACTGCACCGATGGGCCGACAGACACACACAACTAGGACACACAGAGAGAGGCAGACAGACAGACAGACAGAAAGGCCAACGCATTAATTCATTGACGTGAGTGGATGAGCGCATCACTCAGTCAGCGAGTCAGTGAGTGTTGGGCCTCCCTCACCTCCGATGTCTGTCAGCTCAACGGCCCGCCACCCCACCAAAGCAGCCGAGAGGACGACTGACTCGAGGGACTCTTCTCGCCCTCTTGTAAGCTTGTCGGCCGAGTGCCTCACTCTCGCAACGCACAGCTGTCCGACAATTAAGGCGCACAAACAAAACGCCGCAGTTTGGCCTCTCGGGAATGGGGCTATAGGGTAACAAACCCTTTGACCCCTCGGCAGTCAAACCCTCCGGCTCTTTCAAGTTCGGTGCCCAGCCCTCCTGACGGCTGTGCTGTGCGCTGAGATCTGTCTGTCGTCCTTTGGCATCCACCTTGCCTTGTCAGCTGAGGTCGGCGACGGAGACGCACACGCGGTGATTCAGTCAGATCAGTGAATGAGTGAGTGAGTGATGCTCGTGCATTGGAAAGAAAACAAACCGGGGAATGCCTTGCTGTGGTGCTATTCGTCCGCCGCCACGATACGTGAGTACAAACAACCAAACTGACTCACGCCGCCACGAGTACGTCAGGGGCGAGAGAGGGGAACGATCAATCAATCAATCAGTCAGTCAGTATCCCTCTGTGTGTCTGTGTGTGTGTGTGTGACGCATTTGTAGGCACACAGACCATGCTGCTGATGGTGATTCTGCTGCTGGTGATGGGAGTATGGATAAGTGCCGTCGTCGCATTTGTGCCTCCCCTGGGCCATGCCGTCCGCCACCTGCAGCATGTTGGTGCCCACTCTGCTGGCCAGCAGCAGCAGCTGGACGTGCGGCGAGCCGAGCCGACTGAGTGGATGGCCGCCCTGCCTCTGCCTACCGTCATGGTGCAGTCATCTTCGTCCACTTCCCATCGACGCCGGCGGCCCCGTGGCTCCACTGCACTCATGGTGGGTCGGTGGGAGAGGGTGGGAGGCAACAAGGCGGCCGATGACTGACGCAGGCACCTGAATGTGTGTGTGGTGGGGGGTGCAGGTGACCAATGACGCCGATACCGCCCCCCCTGCGAAGCTGGACAGTCTCATCAGGGAGCTTCGGGAAGAGAAGGCGGCGCTGGACCAAGAGAAGGCAGAACTGTCGCAGCAGTTCGATCTCGCGCTTAAGCAGCCTGAGGACAAAGAGACTTTAACGCTCATCAACAGCCTCACGCAGCTCATTGTGTCGATCGATAAGCGACTCAATGCGATAGACCAAGCACTCTTCTCCACATTTCGCCCTGGTACGCACGCACCGCCCACACACAGGGAGGGAGGGAGGGAGGGAGAGAGAACGACACACACATGCATGTGAAGAGAAGAGAAATGCACACACATGACGACAGAGAGGAAGGAAGAAAGCGACCCGGCGATTCACCTACCGTGCCACATGGGTGTCTTTGTCTGTGTGTGTGTGCGTGTGCGCTGCAGAGGCCGCGACCAAGGCGGACTTGAAGGCGCTCCTCCAGGAGAGCTTATTCCATATGAAGGAGGACAACCGCCGCTTGTTCAACCAGATGATGCAGATAAAGGAGCTCGGGGATGAGCAGGACTTTCTGAGGCGCCAGCAGGAGCAATCATCTCAACAGTGACAACAACAGACAGACAGACAGACAGGTGGGCAGAAGCACACACAATGTCATCTCTGTCGACCTGGACAGAAAGGTCAAGGAGCTGTGGGAACAGTGGGGAGAACTGAAGCAGCAGATCGAGCAGGAGAAGGACGAAAAAACTCTCATCCTCCTCGAGCGGCGCATGGACTCGACTGATAGGCTAATTCACTTAATGTACCAGACAGGTTTCTCGGAGACCATGAGCGTGGAGGACTTGAAGGAGCTGAGGGAGGACGTCTTCCGCCGTATGAACCAGGTCAGAAAGATATGGGAAGTCCGTTAGGATGAGAATCTTCTACGGCGCCAGCAGGAGGAGGAAGCATCATCTCAACAGTGACGACAACAGACAGACAGACAGACAGACAGGTGGGCAGAAGCACACACAATGTCATCTCTGTCGAGCTGCTGAACGAAGCCGTGTGTGATGCTCAGGGCCAGCCAACTAGCCATCCATCACCGGCTACGCTGATTGATGGGCATCCTTTGAAATGCGCGAGACAAGGAGATAGGGTGCGCGAGGAAGAGAGCTGTTGCACGGAACTTTGACGGTGTGTGTGCCCGCCTCCAGTTCTGCGCCACCAGTACTCGCAGCTGTGCCGACCGACAAAAGCAGACCAAGTACGCCGTCCAATCGAGTGCACCAGCAGCCATGCACGGCTCACACAGCGCCTTCTGTCGACCGACCAGCTCATTCTAGCGAACACACAGCAACTCACCCCGCTGTACCAAACACATTACTGCACACCGCCCCCTGGTTCGCATGCACCGCCCACACACACAGAGGGAGGGAGAACCACACACACACACACACATGACGACAGAGAGGAAGGAAGAAAGCGACCCGGCGATTCACCTACCGTGCCACATGGGTGTCTTTGTCTGTGTGTGTGTGCGTGTGCGCTGCAGACGCCGTGACCAAGGACTAGAAGTTATTGGACTGGGTTACCACGCTCAAAATGGCACAGGAGATCGGAGAGCAGCAGAGATCTCTGAGGCGCCAGCAGGAGGAGGAACTATCATCTCAACAGTGAGGACAGGGAGGTACGAGCACCTCTCTGTCGAGCTGCTGACGTGGCGTCAGATGCTCAAGGCCTTCACTGGCTACGATGATAAGCCGATGATAGAAGAGGGTCTGACGCAGTCTGCGGGCTTGCTGGACGATGAGGCGAATTAGGAGGGTGGGAGGATGACATGATGTGTGATACGTGCATACAAAGGGCTCGGCTGGATGTGTGGGTGGATGTTTGGGTGGGTGGGTGGATGGTTCTCGACACACATGCATCGCAGACAGTGTGTTGATGTGCTCGACAGACAGATAGACAGACAGACTCTCCGGTGGAAAGATGAATATGAATAGATAAATCAACGAGTCCCTTCTGCGCTTTCGGCACCGTATGCATACACAGGTCTGTCTGTCTTTTTTGTATGCCAACACTCGCACACACGTGTGCATGCACATAAGCCTCCATGCAACCACCTGAACCACCCTGTGTGAACGAATCATCCACACCACACCCAATTTTTCAACAAGATCTCTGTGCTTGTTTGTCCAATTTGTGCTTGTCTATGATGGCTTTCAGTCACATGCGAATATGGGTGGATGTGTGTAGATGGGCGGGGGAGTGGCCACTGGCATACTCGACACATGGATTCATTGAAAAAGGCGGGCACACACAGGCATCCAGCCGTCCTGTCACGTCATTTCGAGCACTTGGCGCCCTCAAGGATAGCATGCAGCCTCCCCACTCGGCCATCGTCCGCACATGTGTCAATCAAATACTCGCTCGCCCAGAAATCAGCCTTTCTTCCTCTGCACCCGTTCTCCTCTTTGCGTTTCTGCATGACCTGTGCTTCTGGGGTCCACAGGTACAATGACGAGCCGCTGCACTTGCGTCTCTCTCCATTTCCCCTCACCTTCCCCCTTTGCACCAGCACCTCCGTGGGAATGAGATAAAAATAGCGATCACCAGGCACAGAGACGGCGAGCAAATCAAAGTCTTGTTCCTCGTACAGCTGAATTGTGAGACGTGCTCCCTTCCTGCCGGCACTCTTCTGAAGGACAACAATATGAGCCGTCCTTGACCCCGGAGTGAAGGACAGCTTGTTTGTGCTGAACGAGGAATTTCTTCCCATTCCACCGCCAGACGGCATCGACAGGCGTGTCCTCGTAGCGGAGCTGGCGTGGACGGATGTCCATACCAGCAGCAGACAGCAAAGGGGCCCATGCGGCAACGGATTCCTCGCCCTTCTGATGGGTCTCAGACCGCTGCCTCATGATGTTCCCCAGCGAGTCCTTGATAAATGCGGTGTCATGATAGGCCAGCAGCAGCTTATGTGCCAGAGATTCCTGGCCCTCAAGCGTCGCTGAGCATCGAAATTTCTCATGGTCCCACTTGCCGTTCTCAGAGATGGCAATATGACCCGACTTGCCGCCTTCTTCCTTCAGCATGGATCCGTCGTAGCACCAGATGCGATACTCTCGCAGAGCCACACAGACGACGGGCATGCCGGCGTACTGCTGAACAAGGTGAAAGAACCAAGCGCGACCGCCGCTGCTACTTTTCTGCTTGCACGTCTTCACTTGCACCGGCAGCCACAGGTCCTCACCCACACCAAAGGGCCGCACGGCAAGGTCAGCATGGGCGAACTCGTAGGTCCTCTGCACCTCAAACCAGTTCCTCAGCAGATCCATCACACACTGCACGCCACAGTTGCTGACGAGCCGATATCTCTTCTTCTCCCATCGCTGCAGAAGAATGTCAGCAGCAGGGCTTGTGAGGAGCCGTCGATGCACAAGCCGCTGCTGGAATTGGGTGGCGTAGGGAGAGGGGGAGGCGGTGGCGGCGAGCGCAGGGGACCGGTGGGAGCCCAATACATGACGAGAGGCGACAGCGAGGCCCGCCTGCATGGATGAAATCACGGGATGAGGCAGAAATGGCGAGGAACGGCAGCGAAAAGGAATCCTGGCGGCGGCCGCAATGGATCGATGAGGCGCCAGCAGGCGGCGGGCAGCCAAGGCGGTGGACATTTGTGGACGGCGATTCCCGCACTTCCCCGGCCTTGCGAGCTTGTAAATGCTGCAGATCCGCCAAGATGCATTCTCGTCATTGGATGTATGCGGCGAGTGTGCTGTGCCATGTGGTGCATCTGAGGGCCGAGAGAGGAAACAATTCATCGTCAGATCACAACACCGAAGAGAGGCGAGGCCTTTCAGATGCTGACAGGTTGCATCACCCCCACCAGCCGGACGACCACAGCAGCCACCACCAGCACCACTCGATGACATTCCACATGAGTGTCCAGAACACCATACTCTTCTCCTTCTGGCAGACGAACAACACTGGAGAGGTCAGCCAACACACACACGCAAATGGACAGATCTCGCCGCACATGTCTGTAGTATTTGGGTCCGTGTCTGTCTGGCAGTATTTGGGTGCGTGTCTGATAATCTTTGCTGCCGGGATGGCGTCGGTGTTTCTGCGGCTGTACAGAGGGCGGCTGGAGACCTGGTGGGAGCTGACGGGAGGCGGCCCACGACCGGTGGCAATGAAGCACTGTGTGAGAGCGGGTCTGGCGGCGTTATCATTCTCTCTCGATTATGGCCTTATGCTCATCGCCATGCTCTTCGAAGTGGTGCGCTCGCCAATCGCACACAGACATACCGACGTATGGCCGAGATTCATGCGGCTGCATTCTCTGTGTGTGCAGGGGTTGTTCTTTGCTGTCGTGGGCGGTCTGGTGATGGGCGTGGCGCTCTTCACCGACGCACTTCGCGAGCCGCCCTCATCCAAGGGCAAGAAGGAGCAGGGCGGGGCGTTAGGGACTGGCTGCTGTGACTGAGTGACCAACCTAACTAACCGGCTGTATGCGTGTGTATGCGTCTGTCTGTGCGTGGTATGGTGATGTGAATATGTCTGTCTGTCTGCACACAGACATTCTCTTGACGCACATATGCAAATCATCGACATTGATTTAGGGATCAAATCAACCACCACACACACATAGAGCGAGGGAGAGAGAGAGAGGGAAAGAGGGAGAGGAACGTCAATGAACACGTGTGTGTGTGTATGCGTGTGACGGTTGTGCAGGCAGCCGAGCGTTGGTGGAGCCACTTCCTCGAGAGCAACAACACCCTCATCGCAGAGACCTTCTCGGGACAGGTACCCACGCACACCCACAACAATACCCTCCTGTCCATTCGTCTCTTCCTCTTGTGTGTGTGTACCTGCAGCTCCGTTCGCGCGTCAAGTGCACCATGTGCGGGACCACCAGCGACACATTCGACCCCTTCTTCGACTTGTCGCTGCCCCTCGAACGGGTAACTACGTGTGTGTGAACGAAGGATGCTCATCCTTTTCGTGTGCCCATATCCATCCATCCATGTGTGTGCGTGTGTGTGTTAGGCGCCGCGTTTGTCGCTTCACACGTGTGTGGAGAGCTTCTTCGACGAAGAGATACTCGGACAGGTCAGCAACGAAACAGAGCGATGCGCGTGTCCGTGGATGGATGGATGGATGTGTGTGTGTACGGTTGGTGCAGCCCGGCCACCAGCACTACTTCTGTGAGGTCTGCAAACAGAAGAGACGGGTACGCCCTCACGCGGAACAGACAGAGGAGGTACAGGTGCGCATGTGTGTATCTGATGTGCCCGTGCAGGCGACCAAGCAGCTGTCCATCACACACGTGCCCACGCTGCTCCTCGTCCACCTCAAACGGTACCGTACCCGACAGCACTCATGTATACGATCAACACATGTGCCCCCTGTGTCCGTGTGTGTGTGTGTGTGCGTGTGTGTGTGTGTGTAGGTACTCATCGATGTTGAGCGGGGTGCGGACGACTGTTGATGTCCAAATGCGACTCAACAAGGGCGAATGGATGGACAAGAAGGCGAGAGGGAGAAATGCGTTTGTGCCTTCATTGAGATTCGTCCATTGTCCGTCCAGTGTACCATACGTGCGTGCAAGGCGTTTATCATACGGCTATACATACGTGTATATGCATTATCTCAGATCTGGCTCTTCGAGCGGGCTTTCTTCGGCGTCGGGCTGTGACACGACGGGGCTCGCCCGCCCTCTGAATTCGGGCGGTCCGGCGGGGCTCGCCCGCTCTCTGGGTTCGGGCGGTGCGGCGGGGCTCGCCCGCTCTCTGGGTTCGGGCTGTCGGGCGGGGCCCGCCTGCCCTCCGCGTGGGGCTAGGGCTGGTGCCTCGATGATCCGACGTCCTCCTACAGCACACACAAGGCAGTGTGTCGATGCTCTCTTTCCGCAAGTGCGTGCGTACGTCGGCATTCGAACTTGAGGGGCCGGTTTCGTGTGCCAGCCAGTCGAGTGGTGCAAAGATTGGTGAAGACTTCGTGTATGGGGATGTTGTAGTTTCTGCCCACAAACAGACACACATACAACCGCAATACACACGCACTCGCGCAGAAAGACGCTCCTTCACTACAGGCATACTCACCTCGCAGGTATGGCTTCTTCTTAATTATAGAAGTCAATCTCGTATGAGCGAAAATCCCAATCTCGCGGTCCAATATTGTTCCACCATAGCCTCACCTCCCGTTTCCAGCGCAACGTCTGGAGAGTGCGCGTGCTCGGGTAATCCACTTCCCAATGCTCAACAGGCTCCTCCCCGAAAATCCACTCGGAACGCTGATCCTCGGAGAGGATAACATGGAGGTGAAATGTTATCGTCTGGGGAGGAGAACAACCCGAGAAACCAGAACCCATCCAGGGCGACTCAACGCTTTTGGGCTGCTCTCTCACACTTCTGCGCGAGAGTTCCCAAAAGCTCGCGAGAGGAAGGGGAAGGAGATGGAAGAGAAGAAGCGTTGGCAGTGTTTGCAGTGTTGGCGGCGTTGGCTGAGCTGACCGCGGCCAGTTGTGCGTGCCGAGCTACGCTTCTTCACGTACCATGATTGTCCCGGCGAGTGGGGACCCATGTGCTTCAATGTAAGACAGTTCGGGGGGAGCTTCCACACCATTGGCGACATCAAGTCGTTCCTCTACGACGGTGGGATGGTGCGCGGTGCCACCAGCTCGGCTGACGTGGTCATTATCGGCTGCGAAACTGCTGGCGACGATGAGCTCATCGAGCAACGTCTTGGCGACAGGTGCGTGGGTGAGTGGTTCTCGCGGGCGCAGACATTGAGTGCGTGTGAGTGCGTGTTGGTGCAGGGGCAAGACCAAGGCGGACCCGATCGTCATGAAGCGCCTGGTGCAGATACCGCCATATGATGTGCCGCACGGTGGGACACGTGCACCCTTGTGTCTATGCAGTCTGTATGTGCCTGTGTCTGAATGCGTCTGTGTGTGTGGTGATTAGATGCCAACGCACCCAGAGAGGTCACGCCGAACGCATGATCAGCATGACGCGAGAATGGTGGTGCCCGACGGATGTGTGAGAATGTCGAGCCATGCCTGCCTGCCTGGTGTGTCCGCTTGTTCGTGCCGCTGCTGTGAGTGAGTGATTGAGTGAATTTGGTCAAGTGAGTGCAGTGCGTTTGCTGTAACATACATACCTGCATGGCATGGAACGAACGGATGGACAAATGGACACGATCGCTTGTCACACTTGCAAATGCAATTGTCTCACCAGTCCTGTCACGGCGACAGCCAACGAACATGTGGTGTATTCTTGGCCTTTTGTCTCCCCCTTTTCCGTTCGCTCAGGAGTCGCAAGAGGGCACTGGCTGCTGTGACTGAGTGACCAACCTAACTACCGGCTGTATGCGTGTGTATGCGTCTGTCTGTGCGTGGCATGGTGATGTGAATATGTCTGTCTGTCTGCACACAGACATTCTCTTGACGCACATATGCAAATCATCGACATTGATTTAGGGATCAAATCAGCCACCACACACACGGAGAGATACACATCAATCACCTCACATGACGTGCAGCAGACATCCATCCATCAATCTATCTAGGGGTCTTCACGAATTGTCTGTCACATCCATACGCCACCACACGCACACACCGACCATCCATCCATCCATCCATTCATTCAGGCAGACAGCAGATACAAAATCGCGCCACACACACGACGGAGGGGAGCCAGGCAGACAGGCAGATGGGCAGGCATACACACAGAGAGAGACTGGCGCGAGAGGGGCCGCCCACAGCAGCAGGCCAGCGGCAAGACAAGCCAAGGGGTGAGACAGACATGCGCTTAAACTCTCTCTCCCCCTCTCGAAAACAGACAGCAATGCAAAGTCACCATTACACGGGTGGGGTGTGGTGTGGTGGGATGGGAAAAGGATACATGACAGACAGACGCAAAACCGATGAGTGATTGATCAAACACGCCGCCCCTCTCCCTTTCTCTCCCTCTCTGTAAGTATATCTACGTGCACAGTGCCGAACGAAGCTAGGGGAAAAAACCAACATGTGCGGGGCAAGGCACTAGCTGCTTGTGTGTGAGTGAGTGAGTGATGCGTGTGGACAACCCTCTCCCATTCCAAGCCTTCCCACGGTGGTGGGCCTCATCCGTGTGGCTCGCTCACCCTCCTCCATCGCGACGCGCCAAACGAACACCTTCGGGCAGGGTTCGGTTGTAGCATCACGAAGCCAGACGGCAAGCACACCGACACGAGTAGCCGAGCAACCGTGTTGCACCTGTTTGACAATACCAATCCTCGCTGTTCCGACTGGCCTGCACCGTCCAGATATGTGTGTTCCCTTGCTGCCGGCCGCCCACATCAACCACCGCACAAGATGGTCGATCTGTGCGGTGGGAGATGTGCTCAACAAGGCAAAGGAAGCACACGGGCCTGTGGGCCGAAAAGCAATGTGTGTGTGGGCAAAAGGATGACTGACTGAACTGTGTGCGTTCCCTCCCTCCCCATCTACACAGAAAGAGAGTCGTCGTCTGGACTAGCTGCCAGACAACGCACCGACTTCCACTGCCATCATCCCCACCACCCGCATCTATCTGCCCGTCTCGTCTCTCTCAGTCGCTCATCCATCCATCCATTGGTCATCGGTCATCGGTCAGCCGCCCTGCTTAATTGCGAGAGACGCTTTGCTCACTCGAGGCGGGCAGACAGGCGCACAGGCAGACAGGCAATACACACCACACCAACACGTTGGAATGAAACTAGAGAGAGAGGGAGAGGGCAAGTGAAAAAGCAAGAAGCCAGGCAACCAGGCCGGTGGGCAGATGGATACACACATGGAGGGATGAAGGGAGAAGAGGGTGTGGTGGCTTTCGGCTCTCACGCATGAATGGATGCATATGTATAGCAGCAGTAGAAGTGTGTGTGTATGTGTGTACGTATGTGGCGGCGAGTATGTGGCAGCGACTCGGCTAATTCGTATCAAACTGGCCCGCCCCGCCCACTCGACCACCCTTCCCTCCTCCCTCACCCCCACAAACACGTCAGTCACCTCACTCATCCATCCACTCAGCCACACAGACAGACAGACAGACAGACACCCACACACGATGCACCACGCCGCCGTACATGCATGTGTGCAGGTGTGTGTGAATGTCTTAGTATCATTTCTTTTGCGCCAGAGTGCGTGAGAGCCAGTCGAGGCCCTCGTACAGGCCATCGCCCGTCGTCGCACACGTCGACTGAATGAACCTGTTTGTTGTCACACACAACACGCAGACAGAGAGAGAGAGGACCAGATGCGTGTGTCTGCGCGTGTGTGGCCATCCACGTGTGTGTGCGTACCAGTTTCGGTGTCTGATGGAGTGGAGATGGAGTTTGTCGGTGACCTCGGCGGCCGTCATGGCGTTGGGCAGATCCTGCTTGTTGGCGAACACCAGCAGCACCGCATCGCGCAGCTCGTCCTCATTCAACATCCGATGCAACTCCTCACGAGCTACACACACACACACACACACACACAGAGGCACATCATTGCCCCATCTCTCTCTCCCTCTCTCTCTCCCTGTCTGTCTGTCTGTCTGTCTGTCCATGTGTGTGTGATTGTGTACCGTCTTCAATTCTGTCCCTGTCGTTGCTATCGACGACGAAGATGAGCCCCTGCGTGTTCTGGTAGTAGTGGCGCCACAACGGACGGATCTGCACACACACGACAGACAGATGTGACACATTCACCACACACACTCAGTGAGAGAGAGGAGAGCGATGGATGCGCATAAAGGAGTGGTGTGAGCTGTGCTTGTTCACCTTGTCCTGTCCGCCAACATCCCACACCGTGAAGGAGACTGACACACAGACACACAACGCACAGTTCACACAGGAGTTTTGTGTGTGACGCCATTTTCTGTCTGGGCTCCCTCTGTCCAGCCTTACTGTTCTTGTACTCGACAGTCTCGACGTTGAAACCTGAGCAACCACACCGACGCACACACACAGAAAGACCCTGTGCACGCCCGTCCACCCGACGGAAGGCACGCCGATCCGGCGATGTCTCGTTTGGCCTCTCTGCGCCCTCTCTCCCTGCCCGCCGGCCTCATCTGGCTGTCTGTGTGAGTCTGCGTGTGCGTGTGTCTGTGTGGCTGACCGATGGTGGGAATGGTGGTGACGACTTCGCCGAGCTTGAGTTTGTAGAGGATGGTGGTCTTGCCCGCGGCGTCCAGGCCGACCATGAGGATGCGCATCTCCTTCTTGCCGAACAGCCGCTGCCATATCCGCGAGAAAGCCAACCCCATCGCGCCGCCCTGCCTACTGCGCCAACAAACACCTCAGCTCTCCCAGAGGCGGCGTCAAACCACGCACGCACAAGATCTCAGCACAGGCCGCTACCACTCCCACAAACGCAATATCCAACGTCAGACGAATGCGAGCTTCCCTCGCTAAGCTCGCACTTTTTTCGCAACATTGCAGAGATGGCTCGTTTGACTTCCCAGAGCGGCCTGGCGAAGGCGATAATGGACACCTCTGACTTCCCGCCGGGAACTTCGCCTCGCAGCGCCCTGATGTCGCCTCGCTCGCCGCTCCGAGCGCTGCGGGAGGTGGCTGATGCTGAGAGCCGTATGGCAACGGAACTGGTGGAGCACTCGCCTGAGCGGCTGCAGCTAAAGATGGCCATCGTTGACAAGCCCGTTGCAATGAACCGAGCGCAGGAGCTGGAGCATCTGCAGGTGAGCAAAGCAAAAGCAAAAGGGCATTGCAAAGAGGCCTTGCACGTGTTTGTGTGTTTGGCGCAGGTGGTGGTGAAGAGCGAGATAGGCCGTCTGCTTCGGTACAGGGTGAGACAGGGCATCGTTGAGGGCCGAGAACAGGAGGCAACCGACCGCAGCATCAGGACGGCTGTCGAGGAGGTCGCCAAGGCGCTCAGGACGTTTGTGCTGCACATGGACACAGACAAGCTCACTCCACACGCTGGCGTAAGTGCAGCCAGAATCGTAATGCCATCCACCATGCTGTGTGTTGGGCTGTGTGCCATCTTGTGCAGGGTCTATTGCTGCAGCTGAGCCGCAAGGAGAAGGAGCTGGATGAGCTCGCCCGCCTCTTCCAGCGGCTTCGTGAGGCCTACAACGCATCCAAAGCAGCGATGCTCCGCGAGATCGCCATGCTGCGGGGCGGCGGCCGCACCGATCGCCTGGTTGGCAGATAGAGAGACACCACAGAATGGCCGCCTAGTCCCCATCTTTGCTTGTCTTTGTTTGCAGGACCGCGACAGTCAGCTGTCGGTTGATGTGCAGGAGGCCGAGGATGCATTCATCGCGGCGCTGCGGGCGGCCCTCCACGGCGAGGCGTTGGAGGAAGTTGACTATCTCAAAAAGATGAAGAAGAGCCTGGTGGGTCGATGGATGGGCCACTGCGACAGTTCTCTTGTGTGTGTGCATATGCTTGTAATTTGTCAGGAGGATGAGTTGCGCAGCCGAGACCTGGAGATAGAACACCTGCAGGGCAAACTCAATGAAGTCTTTCAAGCTGTGCGCCGTCGTGACGAGAAAGCGCGGCAAGACGCGGCTGCGAAACAGGCGCCAGCCCAGCCTCCGACACCTCCCCAGCCGACATCGGTCTTCACCACACAGATGCCGACAGAGGCAATGCAGCCACCACCACCAGCGGCAGGGCAGCGTGCTCGCGCCCCGTCTGTCATGTTCTCGCCAAGGACGGCAACAGCCGCTGCTGCTGCAGGTTTTGGTGTTGGTGCTGGTGTGGGGTGGCCTGCTGCCGCTGGCGGTCCTGGTGCTGCTGGTGGTGAGGCGGCGTCAGTGAGGAGCAGAGGTGAGGATGAGGGCGAGAGGGAGAGGGAAGGCGTGGGGCCGCTGTCGCCGCCTGGCACGTCGGGAGTGCCATCGGTGAGCCACCACTGATCATCGCACATGCTTCGTTTGCTTCATCTCGTGTGGATATCAATGTGTGTCTTGTGTCCAGGAGGCCGGTGTGGGCATGGGTGTCGGTGAGGAGGAAATGGACATCAGCGAGCGGATCGCAGAGGAGGTGCAGAGGGCTGTCAAAGCAGCCGAGGCAAAGGTAGAGGCAAACAGCACACAGACACACTTACGCAGAATACAGTTTCCATTTGCGCATCGTGTGCAGACCGAGAAAGAGATGGAGTCCTTGCGTCGCCAGCTGAACGCGGCGCACACCCGTATCGCAATGGCCATGGTGGCCCAGGCCAAGCCCACGACTGATCTCCGACCAAAGGCACCAACGAGGGTAGCAACACGCAGCCACACAAGACCAATATGATCAAACATCCCCACTGGCTGCGTGTCTCCCTATTGCAGCGAGGCTCTCAGAGGTTCATTACTCCCTCCCCTCGTCGGGCATCTGCCACTCAAGGCGCCGGTGCTGGTGCTGGTGAGGGTGATGTGCTGTTTGGCGAGCCGGAGTATGACGAGACGTTCGGCATGGATTGGAAGACGGCGGCTCTACTGATCGATCAGAAGAGGTGCGCTGGCCATGACCCCTCATAGTTCACCAGCCAGCAGATAAATTAAGGTCGTTTCTATGGATGCCTTTCTCTCTGGAAGGCAAATGGCTGACGATCGCGACAAGGTGCTGGACACACAGATGAAAGAGCTCGCCAAACAGACAGAAGAGGCCGAAAAGTAAGCGCACATGTCAAGGACTCCTTTGGTTGCCTGTATGGTCTCTCGTTGGCCGCTTTATTATGCAGGGAGAGAGATAAGGCGCGGAAGGAGCGCGAGGACATGCAGCGGCAGCTCTATATCGCACTCAAGGCAAGCGAGTCGTACGCACGATTTGTCTCTATGCATCCCACTATGGATGTTTTGGCGTGTATATTCACCTCAGGCCCACCACATCTTCCATCAGAACGTTACTGCATTCCTCGCAGCACTGGCGAGGGAGGGCATCACGCTCACATCGCAAGGTAACTACACACACACAAACACACAAAACCGCTCAACTCAACTGACCACCCCAGTCACAATTTCATTGCTGCCTTTGTCCATCCATTCATGCATCAGGTGCCGCATCTCTGCACACCGTGTTATCAACCCTCGACCAGCCACTTCCCGCCATCTATCGTGAGGCGCTCATGTCACCGCTCACGGCCGACTACCCACCTAAATCGCAGCCAGAGAGCGGTGCTGGCACGAGTCAGCCACCGACAGAAGGCCAGCCAGGCCGGGAAGCGGCTGCTGGGGACACAACCACTAGAGAAGCGGAGAGGGAGGGAGACCGAGAAGCCGCCGCATCAGCCGCCATGTCGACTGCCAAAATGCGGCTGGTGCCCCGACGTATGCAAATAAGAGCATAAGAGCCACACGGACACCTTCAGGAATATCGTGTCTCGTCTCTCTGTTGGTGTCGCATGCAGAGGCAGCTCCGGGCGACATCGATACGACAGGAGATGGGAGGAGGATGGCTGGTATCTTTGACAGGCGATGGACGGCTGCTGGAGAGGGGCAGGAGGGCGGTGAAGGGCGGGTGGCGCCAGGTTACCAAAGAGCTGACACCTGGCCGATGGATCACTCTAGTGCCACAAGGGACAAGAAAGACGTATGAATCCACCAGACACAACGAACGAAGTTCATGTGGTATGCTCTGGTCTTTTCTCCCTTGCAGCTTGGCAGCTGGCGATTCTTTGCAGTGATCGAACAGCCCAGCAACACCGACATCTCCCTCCCGCCCTTCTTCCCGCCCATCTTCCCCCTGCTCTTTCCACCCGCACCCGCCCCCGAGCAGCCCACAGCGGCTGTCGGTGTCGCCCCACAGCCATCGGACACCGTCTTGACGACCAATGCCAACGCCACCACACACCGACTGTGGCTGCAGCAGGTGCAGGAGGACGAGTTGAGGGCGCAGGAGGCTCTCCTGCCGTCCAAGAGCGGACCGAGGACCGCTGCCGGTGTGCGGATAAAGCTGCCGGCCACGCTGCCCGGAGGTTGGGTGATCGTGGGTTTGGGCGACATGGACGCTCTGGCGGCGCCGAGTGTGATACGGCCGTTTTTGCTGAACCCAAATGTGCCGCCCATCCTGCCGCTGACTGTATGGGCTTCGCAATTCAATGTGGCTGCTCTGAGGTGAGTGCGAATGAGAGTGACGCACACGCGCAGGGGCCCTTCTTGGTTGGCCTTTGTGTGTTGTTGACATTGATATCAATCAGGGCGTACCAGATCTCCCACACGCCCCCCTCATACACATATGAGGACCTTCCACGATACTGGGCGCCAATCGGCTATGACCGGCCGCTGTCGGCGCCTCCACGTGTGCAGACAGCCGCACGGCCGACACAACGACCGACCTCACCACCAGCAGCAGCAGAGGCACAGACCCGCCGCACCCACGTTGCCAAGGTGCCGTCTTTGCCGCCGGCAAGGCGGCACGAGAGCTCCCTGCTCAGTCATCGGGCGTCGTCCACTGACGATCTTCTCTCGTCATCCATCGGGTCGCCCCGGACCCCACGGACTCAGGCGAAAGACCAGGAGGAGGACGAACACCCACACACGTCTTCCCTCCTGCCGCCGTCACACCGACCGTCGCCGAGGAGAGAGGATCCGGAGAGAGGGGACCACACGCAACGCAGGCCCTTGGCATCGTCTCCCGCCAGGCCGGCATCCGCTGAAGGGTTGGAGGGGCCACCTGCGTCGTTTGCGCGGGCCAGGAGGGTGGTGCGGCCTGTGGATCGGAAGGAAGACGAGCCGTCGTCAGTTAGGCGCATGATCAGCTGGAGAGACATCCCTGGCGGGCTGCCTAACATACCGGTGAGCAAGCGACGGAGGTGACCATATCTTCGCATTCCTGTTTTTTGCTGCGTGCTATCCCTTCTGCAGGCTGTGAAGGTATTCCCACCCCCTCTCCGCATCACCTCGCCCCACCCGCCCCTGTCGCCTCCAATCACGTCGCCGCCCACCGAGACGCCCTCCTCACTCCTCACCTACTCCCGGCCGCCATCGTCGAGAAGGCACGTCTCGCCGATGCCGCCTTCTCCTGTCGACTACATGCTCGATGCAAGTGGCATCCCACGACCAAAAGGGATGCAGAACATTATTGGATCGCCGCATAAGGCCACCTGGGGCAAGGAGAGGAGGCAGAGACAGCCCAGTAGGAGGCCGGTGAGTGCGGGTGGGAGCCGGCATGTGATTTGCACTTGGGGCGGCGGTGTGGGGGACGGCCGGGGTCGGCCGCTCAGTGCCCGGCAGAGACCTGCTTGATAGAGACGTGTGGCTGTCGTTCAGCTGTTATGACATTGGCCGCGATTGATTCTAGGACTTGAGTCATATGTGCACATGCAGAGTTTCTGTGTTTCCTTGCGCGCAAGGCATGCAGGCGATCTGGCGTCGTACACCCTCAGACAGTGTTCATCAGACGCCATCCTGATTTTCCCGCCGACGTCGCCTGTTCCTCGCATATGTGAGTCGGCACAGTTATCATGCAAACGTAAGTGTCTGCGGCAGGCTGCAGCCCGTCTGTTTCCATCACTCACTGCACATACGTCAGACAGACAGATCGATCGGCGTCAAACCAGCACAGACGGACAGATGTCTCTGTCAGTACGTGTCGGTCTGTTCGGGTCCATCGTGTCTGTTTGTCTATCTATCTGTCGCACTGTGTCTGTCTGTTTTCATGCACACGTAAGTGTCTGCACCGTGTGCGTCACGGTTGCGATTGAGCGACACGGAGTTCATCACTCGTCATCAGACATCTGTGAAGCCAAGGAATGAATGCATTCACGACGCAGTCACTTATCGTGCTGGCAGCTGACGTACCTGGATGTCTGTGCTTGCGCGAGCTCGCACCATCGCCTCGGCCAGGTGCGAGTCGGCCTCCCTCGTGCGTGCTGCAGCCTGCAGCAAATAAGCACTTCAAACTGAGAGGCTCTCTTCAACGGCCACCTTGTACACGTCGGTTACATATTTGTATGGCGTGAGGCCCTACAGCCATACACAGACCTTTTCTCAACAATCCGAGCAGCAAGAATTGTCAGGCACCTTCAGGGGCCCTCGCATGCCGATTTCCAAGCCGATCGGCAAAGACGCCGCCGAGCAGATACCGTTTTTTTGCCGATGGACATAGGAGCGTCACGTCGACCTAAGGAAAAGTCCACACACAAGGCATTTCTGAACAATCCGAGCAGCAAGATCTCTGGGGAAGTGAGAGAGGCGTCTGCTCACCGATTTCCAGACTGATCTGCCCTCAGGCCGCCGAGCAGTTACGGTTTTCGACAGTGTCCTCATGTGCACGTACACATATGGATAAGATCTCTCCAAAAAAAGGGAGGAGCGAGAAGGTGATATTTGAGACGGAGCCTGCAGAGGTGCCCCCGCTCCCACAACGATGCATGCATTTACCACAGCATGCGGCATAATAGAGCAATGATGAGAGTTGCATCGTTCTAAGTTGGTCTAAGAGTCTAAGCTGCCTCGTCATGCCAAAGAAGAAGAAAAGAAAACAAGACTTTGCCAACAATGATCCGCGAATCAACAGAAATGGCACTCAGCGCAGCCGATCAACAGGTGAAGAGCGAAGCAGCGATGGTCAAGTGAGCCATTCATTCATTTGTTTGCGTGTCTGCCTCTCACTCAGGTGCGAACAAGCGCCTGAAGGCGGAGCAGCAGGGTCAGCAATGACTTTCACTGCAGACTTCATCATCATTCACTCAATCACTCAATCACTCACTGTACCTCTTTCACCGTTCAGATGACGAGCCCGACCGTCATTCTGAGCCTGACTTCCATCAGAATGCTGGCGAAGGGGCTGAGGACGACGCCCTGATGGACCAGCTGGACGACGAGCAGGAGGCCAACCGCCACGCCGACCTGGACGAGATGGAGGGGGGAGAGGACGGCGATGCTGAGGTCGGCACGGTCAAGAAGCGGGGACGAGGCAGTCTGGGGAGAGAGGGCAGGGGATGGGACCATGAGGTGGACGAGGATATGCACGACGTGCCCGTCGACGAGATAGAAGAGGAGGAAGAGGTGCCGCCGAAGCCGCCCACCCCACCGGGCGAGCCCTATCGCACGCGTCGAGCAGGCGCCAAGGCCATCGCACTGCAGAAGCAGGAGCGAGAGCTCGACATACGTGCTCGCATCGCAAATACCAAGGTCTATGGCAATCAGCCCCGACACAAAAGCCGTGAGTGAAGGAGACATTGTGGCACACACTGCAAGCAGTGATGGATGGATAGACAGATGGATGGATGGATGGATGGAATTGTGTCTCTGTGTGTGTGTGTGTGTGTGTGTGCGTGTGTGGCAGGTTGGCTGTGACGGGCAGTCGTCCTCTGTCGTGTCGGACCTGGTCAAGCTGCTGCAGCTCAAGCCACACGACGGCCTGGCCGAGATCAACATACTGCTCGGCTCGTCCTGCCCCACACACGACGCGAGGGTGCTCGAGCTCTCCCCCCACAGCGATCTGCAGACAGCGGTGGCCTCCACGAGGCCAGGCTGCACATGGACGACGTGCGTGACATGGAGGAGCCTCCTCTTGCCTACAAGTGCTTTGTCGACTTCCTCGACCAACGACCTGCCGCAAGCGCCCCGGCGACTGAGGACGCAGGTGAAGCCAGCTGACCCAGTGCCCATGATCAAGGTCGGGTGTGCCCACCGGCCCTCCAGCGGCGGCGGGCGGGCAGCCTTCGTCATGGACGACGTCCGCATGATGCTGACAGGCATCTGTGCCCTGCACGCCTGCATGCGTCTGCTGGAGCATCTGCTTCGGCGTGTCGCGAGCGCTGCCCCACCCGCCTTAAGCACCGAGTGCGGCTTCCCACCCTACTGTCGGTTCACTTGCCAGACGAGAATGTCAAGAGCTTTATGGACTTGGTCAACTCAGAGGCTCATCTCAGTTCTCAGTGAATAAGACCAAGAGAATCACCACGCCCGTTTGTCGATGTTGGTGTCTCCAAATATGTGTGTGCATGTGTGCGTGAGTGTGCGTTTGTGCAGGTTGAGTGTGATGGACATTCCTGCTTTGTTGTATGCAGCGGCCGTGTTCGCCATACAACTGATTCGTCGACTTCCGGCAGAACGTGCATTCACTCATCCATGCGGCGGCGACAGGCTGGCCAGTGTGTGTCTATGTGTTAATGTCTGTGTGTGTTGTCGCCAATCAAACTTTTGTGCCAACAGTTTTTGTCTGTTTCGTCTGTTTTGGTCGAATAAAGTCATGCGAATGTCTCAGTGAAGAGAGAGACACACAATCAGACAATCAATGACTGATTGTGTGTCACACACAATCAGACAATCAATGACTGATTGTGTGTCCCACCATTGCTTCATTTTGTACGGACATGTGTGATCGACATCCATACACATGCACCCAATGACAGCTGCATTCAATGACATGGGGGAGGTCATTTTGTCACTCTGCGTGCATGTTTTGCTGGCCTCTATGAGCCCTCAAAGCCCCTTGGAAAAATTCGGAATTATGTACATAACATGGCCGCCGGACAGCCGTTCTCAGCTTGCTGTGAAAGCACACAAACAATCATTGACTGACGCGTTCACATTCACATGCGCCACCTGCTTGGCCAGCTGCAGTTTCTTCTCATCTGTCTGGCGCTTGTAGTGAAACACTGTCAATCACAAGCGAATGCAGGAGTGTGTGACTCATGCAGCGGTGGCTGCCCTACCACAGAGACAGAAGAGAAGGTCCTCTGGGATGAGGAGCCGGGAGCGGCTGAACTTGGCCATCTCTGCACTGCAGAAGTCAGAAACTGGCGGAGAGACACCAGCCAATGTGAAGTGAATCATGTCGTGTCACTCTGTCACACCAGGCTCGTGCGTGTGTAGCTTTGGCGCGGGCTTGGTGTTCTTCATGATCACAGCGGGCGTTTCGTCGTCGACCTCCATGCTCTCACCCTGAGCACCCACTTGCTCGCCGTTGCGATTCGTTTGAGGCCTTTCTTGGACGCGTTGTACTCGGTCAGACCCTGCCAGACCGATGAGTCCTCTACGGTGACAGATGACTCGGCAGAGTTCTCATTGGCGACCAGCTGGCCCGACAATGTCTGTGGGTGCCGCTCGATGGTCGTCCTGGCCACGTGGAACATCTTGCCGCCGACATCAAGTCGAATGGGAGTCGTCATTGCGACACGCACGCACACCTGCAGCACGACAGACTATAGAGGCACACCTGAATCTGGGTGAAATCCCACCTGGCCCACGATGGATGGGCCAAGTGGGCCAGAGGGTCCTCACTGGAGATGCTGCATAGAACAGCAGCAGAGCGATAGCTGATGATTCCTCAAGCATGCTGCCTGCAGAACTTCGAGTCCCTCACCTTCACAGATGCTCAGATGGACAGATCAACAAGCAGATCAGCGAAGCTACTGATCAAAGGACATGAACACGCAAATTGCACACACAGAAAGGCCTCATCCCGCGTCGGCTGCTCAACTCCCCACTGTGATGATGAGTGCGTTTCTGGCTGGTCTTACCTCTGGCAGGTCATGGCCGAGAGGCGCCACACGCAAAGGACGCTCAGCCATCGTGCTGAAATTAAGGCGCGGCGATCCATTGCGAGCTGAAATGTGAGGAAAGGCGCGGTGATCTGCGGATCCTGCCGATCTGAGCATCCAGGAAGGTGAGGAACTCGAAAATCTCTAGGCAGCATGCTTGAGGATTCATCAGCTGTCGCTCTGCTCCCATTTCTGTGCAGCCCTTCAGTGAGGACCTCCGCTGCCGCCCGTCCACCAGCGTCAGGTACCGAGGCAGACCACACCGAACTGTGAGCCTCGCTGACATCGGTGTGTGAGCGTCAGATTGGTCTGTTTCGCCTAGGCTGTTCGCCCGCCACTCAAACAATCAGACTGGTGACTCACAAGTGACAGGAATGTCAGGGGTGAGAGGGGCGCGAGGCATCCAGTCACCACATTATGTGTGTGTCTGTGTGACGCTAATTGCAGGCGCATAGACCATGCTCCTGTTGCTGGTGCTACTGGGAGAATGGGCCACTGCCGTCGTCGCATTCGTGCCTCCCCTGGGCCATGCCGTTCGCCACCTGCGGCATGTGGGTGCCCACTCTGGTGGCCAGCAGCAGCAGCTGGACGTGCGGCGAGCCGAGCCGACTGAGTGGATGGCCGCCCTGCCTCTGCCTACCGTCGTGGTGCAGTCATCTTCGTCCACTCCCCATCGACGCCGGCGGCTCCGTGGCTCCACTGCACTCATGGTGGGTCGGTGGGAGAGGGAGGCCAGGCGACCGATGACTGACGCAGGCACCTGACTGTGTGTGTGGTGGGTGCAGGTGACCAATGACGCCGGTACCACCACCCCTGCCGAGCTGGACAGTCTCATCAAGGAGCTTCTGGCGGCACTCGAGCAGGAGAGGGCAGAACTGGAGCAGCAGATCGATCTCGCGCGTAAGCAGCCTGAGGATCAGCTCATCAAGGAGCTTCGGGAAGCGCAGGCGGCGCTGGAGCAGGAACGGGCAAAAGTCGAGCAGGAAAAGGCAGAAGTACAGCAGCAGCTCGAGCAGGAGAAGGATCCCGACACTCGCAAATTCCTCATGCAGCGCATTCTGTCCACCAATCAGCAACTCAATACGCTGTACCAAGCACCCTTCTCCGCACCGCGCCCTGGTACGCATGCACCTCACACACACAGAGAGGCAGGGAGGGAGGGAGGGAGGGAGGGAGAACGACACACACAAGCACCTGCACAGACAGAGAAATGCGCACACACGACGACAGAGTGCCACATGGGTGCCTTTGTCTGTCTTTGTGTGTGCATGTGCGCTGCAGAGGGAGTGGCCAAGGAGCAATGGGAGAACTTCCAGGACAACCGCCGCTTGTTCAACCAGATAATGCTGCTAAAGAACGTCGCGGAAGAGTATAATTTTCTGAGGCGCCAGAAGGAGGAGGAGGAGGAGGAAGCATCATCTCAACAGTGAGGACAGGGAGGTACGAGTACCTCTCTGTGGAGCTGCTGACGTGGCGTCAGATGCTCAAGGGTATCACTGGCTGCACTGATGACCAGATAGAAGAGGGTCTGAAGCAGTCTGCGGGCTTGCTGGCGCCATTTGAGGACACGCAGACTGAGTCAGACAAACTTACGCGGGAAGGGAAGAAGGAAGGTCGGACAGCTATGCGAGACCCTCTGGGCCGTTTCTTTAGAGCGACATGTACAGCACCGGATCGACCAGCACTGAGTGCCACACCTCGTCGATGTGAGCCGGCACCGACAGGCGGCAGAGCTGCGGTCGTTCTCAACACCCTTCTGCACACACGCACATCACACCACACGACCACAGCAACAAACAGACCATTTGCACATACTCTTATGCTCATTTACACCCTTCGTCCTCATACCAACAAATGTGTGCTGATGTGCTGTGGCCAGCATTCACTCTACCAATACCTTCGCTGAGCTGGCATCGGTCATCCATTATGCCTGGCATGTCTGTGTCGTTGTGTGTCGTTTCTTCCGTGTCTGCCTGATACTTAGGTGGGTTTTGGATGTCTCATTTGTCACACATTTCATTGACACGTATAAGTACATCGACGGTGCTTTGCATTGCATGGATGACACTGAGTGAGACAATCACGGATGTCTACTTGTAACGCCATGGAGACGTCACGTCTTACATGTCGTACTCACTACTTCCCTACTCACACAGTCATAGACACTTAATTACACCCACGTCACCACTCCCATCTGCTTCGATTTGGGCTTGGCCTTGTCGGTGGCGGCAGTGCTAGCGGCAGTGCTGGCAGTGCTGGGCAGGTAAAGCCCGTACACTACTCAGAACAGCACGAAAAAGCCCCATTCGCTAGCTGAAGGGAAGAAAAAAGAGTTTCTCTTAAGCTCACAGAGTGACGTTCATGATCTCGCCGAATCGCCATGGTACCTCATCATGATGGACATCATGGCTTGAAGAGCAGCGAGTTCTGGAAAACACATACGAGTCGAAGAGTTGACTGCCTTACATGATGAACAGCATCCTCACGTGCTTGCAGGCGAAGCTGTGAAGGGATGACCGCTCGAATGGATTTGATAGTGTTCCATGTTGGTTCCCATCGCGCGTGAACGTAGCCAAGTCCACACGGGCGTTGCCGCGCAAATGCGGGTAGTCCGGGAAGGTAATCAACCCCGGATCGTCTCGCCTGACAAGAAAAGCACGAGGATGCATGTATACGTGTCTCTATCGAGTCGTGCTCTCCGTGCATACCAGTGAGAGAATCAGCTTACGTCTCACTTCTTGCGTTTGACTTTGAAGCCGTTGACGTCGACGATAGGGCGGCCACCAGTGCGGCGGCCTTTATTCTCGTGACGCCACCATCTCAAGAAGTCGCTTCCTAAGAAGTATACACGTACGCATAGCAATAAATGAATCGACAGATGACTTCCCTACCCCTCAACCCACCCGTCACGCAGAGCAGCCAAACGCGTGTCATATATGTTGTGTGTGTTGGACTGGTGTGTGTGTGTGTGTGTGTGACTTCATGCATACATGGGTATTCCATCTCCTCGGCCCTCGTTTGCCTCGTCTGCCGTCTGACGTGCCATCATCATGGCTGAGTTCTTGCCGAACGGGTCACCCTGTCATGTTCTCGTAGTGCCACCATCCTAGGAAGTCCTTCGCTCCCATCTTGCCTCTAGTGCCGTAGCGGATGAGCAACCAGATTAACACACACGCCAGAAAAACGCGAAAGAGCAGCCATGCCGCCTCTTCCGCCAGTCGTAGCAGGTCGATCAGCCAATGCATCACTGCCAAGCAGGCAGAAGGGACCAGGGGCAGGACAGCCAGGCAGCTCCTGCCCACCGCGAGGCAAATGGGGCCGAACCACCCTGCGGTCCATGTGCGGTCGCTACGACAGAGCTGCCACTGCCACACGGATTGGTCGTTGACGAGAGGATAGAGGTGCTTCTTCGACACCGTCTGACGCTCGTCGTCACCTATGCCGAGGGTGAGAGTGCAGCTGGTGTGCGTGATGCCACGATTGCGGCCCTTAAGGCAGGTGTGGAGGGGATCCTGGATGGGTATGGGGTACGGTTTGGCCTTCGGGACCGTCTCGGGGGGTGGGTAGACGTCATACGATCACGTCTCGTTCGCGAAGATGCGGCCGGGACGGTCGGGCTAGGGGTGCAGCATGAGGTAGATGTGCATCTTGACAAGCTTGCCGGCTCCACCCGCACTGTGACTGAAAACCTGCGCATACATGACATCACAAACATGTGACCCCAGGGATCTCTCCCTCTCTGTGTCCCTCTCTCTCTCCCTTTGCAGGTGATTCTGTGCGTACCTTGTGCCCTTCCTGCCTGCAGATGTCTATGAGAAGGTCGAGCCGCCTCTTCTGCATCACCGCATCCGTCGTGTCCGCCGAGGGGAAGACTGCCAGCACTTGGGGGGGACTAGAGCAGTCGACATTGTACACCATATACATCTGGAGGCTTTAGATTCAACTCGCTCGCCATCTTGTCCATCAGCCGCTCGATGTCCGAAGCGCAGACGTAGGCCTTCTCTGAGGCCGGCACAGCCGAGTCCACAGAGGCATCACTGTTGGCCTCAGAGGCGGCGTCATCGTGGCCACTCGACTCGTCGTCTGCTTCCGATTCCGTCTCAGGCATCCAATCCGAACCGGCCTCTCACGGAGACGACGCAACCGACTCAGAAACTTCCGCCTCCATGTCATCGAAACAAGACACATCTGCATGTGACCCAATGAGACATCGGGATGACGTGCGGTGCCAGGGGTGTAGGTTCACCACATTCTTAGCGAGAATGGCCGCATCTGTATCCTGACCAGTTGCCAAGAGCACCAGATGTGTTATGGCCAGGAACACTGCGGATCCGTACACACACAGGATGGCGATGTCTGCCTTGGCTGCTGCGTTGTCGGTCAGGCGCGAGGAGAAGCGATTCGCGACGACCTGGCTCAGTCTGGTATGCTGTATGTCCGCGCCCGCCTCCTCCAGGATCTTCACGCTCAGACAGCCTTCTAGGGCGTGGACGTCATCGAAGTGCGAGGGCTGGGACGACGGCAAAAGGGTCTGCAGTAGCCGATGCTTCAGGTGCTCGATCGGCTGCTCCCACTTGACATCACGAGGGAACCTCTTGCGCAGCGGCACCTCGTCCCCCCTTGTCGTCCATGGAGTCGCCGTAGATGGTACGTCCCCTCGGTCGGATAGACCTGACCGCCAATACAGCTGTGGCATGCGATAGCCGGGAGGCCTCCTGTACGCCGAGATGGTAGAGCAGCTTGCATTCGGGCGTCGTGAGCCTCAGCGGCGGATGTGCCTTCATAGCAATTCGCGGCCATTTATGGCGTCCTCAAGCATCGGGGAGAGTGACATCAGACGGCAACTCAAACACGCTGCTCGCTACAAGAAACACCTTGCCTGGTTCCTCAGATGGTGTCGTACTCCTCGATGAATTGTCGAGGTGCCAATCGAGGTGGCTGGAGTATATCGTATCCCCATGGTCCGCAGAGGGGGTGCTGCCAGTGATGGAAAAGGCCTGCATTGTCTGCCCGCTTCCCGTCTCAATTCTCGCCAATTCATAAACTTCCTTCGGGACGCTTCGGGACGCTTTGGCTTGTGCTGGGGGTATTGTGCTGCCAGGAGCACTGTCGGCTGCCGTTGTCATCCTCTCCCCATGGTCCTCCCCCCCCTCCTGATTCGAGCGTTGCTCTCTTCTGACTTCAGCTGGGCATCAACCTTCGTCCACAAAGAATGCATCCAAAGCAGCCCATCCTGGAACTGCTGGCCAGCCTCACGAGCCGAGATCCACTCACCTACTTTACGCTCCCGCTGCCACAGATCTCCCCCGGTTTCGTGTCCATCCATGAGGGACTGGGTCGTCCAGGCGCTGATTGACGCAGATGGCATCCCCACCCTCGTCAAGCTGCTGTCATTTAGCGATGACATGGATCTGGTGATCCACGCGGCCGTTTTTCTGCGCTTCATGGCCCAGCACTCAGCAATGGCCAGCACAGCCATCCTAGAGGTCGCGAGATGGTGCCTACCACAGGTACTTGCAGGTGTTCCCAGAAGACGGACACACAAGGGATAGATAAATAAATGGATGGATGGATGTCTGCAGGGAGAGTATCTAGTTAAGTGTGGGTGCGTCGATGCCGTGTGTGCCTTGCTGGACAGCAACAAGCCTTTGGAGGTCCGCACCGCCCTGATGGCACTTGATCGCATTCTGTGGTCGGGCGGTCGGTCGTGGGTCAGGAGAAGGGAACAGTGCATATGACACGCATTGTGGCTCTTCTGTTGTCATTCCTGTGCAGTGTGGGGCGGCGGAAGCACGCGAGTCAAGGCCTCACCGACAATGCCTACTGTGGGCTGGTCCGCCGGGTCAGTCATTCATGTCAGAATCAGGGCAGAAGACGGCCAATGTCTCACTCAGTACATGTGCTATCTGCCCGTGAAGGCTGGCGGTCTGGCCAAAATCCAACGACTGGCGCTGCACGGCCCACCCGGCCTATCGCGCTGCGTAAGGACAGCGACTCAACTGCAGCGATCCGCCAAACACAGACACACACACTCCTTCTTGGGTGCATGTCTCTTGGCTTGCAGTGTGCGGCGGTGCTTTCAGCGCACTTCCCACCTCTGGCGCAAGCGGCATCAGCCCAGACTCATTGAAAGACACTTGACCTACCGATGCCTCAATGCCTTCCTGCATTAGAACCGCCGTGTGTTTCTACATGCGTCTGTTTTGAGGCTCTCTTGGCGTGTTGCTGTCGGGCGGTTGAGACGACTGCATGCGATATAGGCGGTGAACACATTTCTATGGATGTCTGATTGACGGATGATGGCTTGTACCGAGACTCGCTTCTGTTGCGATTCACTTAATCGCCCACTAAGAGAGCATCCACTCTGTCTCTTGTTGATTATCGTCGTATCCCATGCATCATCTCAACATCATGATGCCAATGACCCATCGATGTCCCATCGCATCTCAAATTGATGTGAGTGAGAGGGCACATAAGTGTCGTCCATATGATACACACACATATGCCAGGGACCACACAGATGAGAAGCGATGACGTGTCTTCTCTCTGTTGCCTCACCCGTGGACAAGCGTACCGGGACGAGACCGAAAAGGACGTCGGTCAGCTGCAAAGAGACCGTCGCCCTTTCCGTCGTCAGCCACGTACGCGTGTCCATACGGATGAGCCAACGAGAGACTGACCCAACCACATAAACAGATTATCCATCAGAAGAAAGGAATGAAGAATGTGGGGCCGTATGTGTATGCTTCGCTTCGCAATCCTAGAGATCAAGCGAAAGCTAATGCGAGCCGCCGGTTTCGCTTTCGCTGTCTGAGCAGCAGGATTCCGAAGCCAAACACACACACACATACACCACGAAGCACAAAACACCGCATACACGACGTGAGCAGAAGTATCCACAGCCGAGGGAGAGAGAGGAGGTCAGATGGCCAGAGCATATACATCAGCTGGTTGCCTGGATGGCTACACAGAGACAGGCCCGACACACGCCGGGATAAACCGTACCTGTACCCCTCCAACACGACCACACACGACACCTCCACAGGCACCACACTGACAGCACTCACATACACTCTCATTGGCTGCTTTGGACCGGGCCGCCGCAACACCGCATCCATCCACCTCTTTCACCAGTCATCATCCCCCAGCCGAGCCGCCTTGCCGACATCCTCGGCCCCCGCAGTAACCTCACAGCTGCCCACCAGACCGCCGATCCATCCCGAAGAGCGGCCGGTCATCTGTCGTCTTGTGTGTATGCGCGTCGGTGGGACGGCCAGTGAGCGGGTCGGCGCTGATGAAGTAAAAACACAGCAAAGCAGTGCGTTTGTCTCTGCAGGCGTGTGTGTGTGTGTGTGCAGCCCTCCCCCCCCCCCTCACTGACCTACAAATAGACATCCGGCAGCCACATGGCCCATTAGCGAGAGGGCATGCGTCTGCCCCAATGCCTCCTTGCAGCGTCGACCCGCTCACAGCCCGTCAGCCACCGATATCCAGAGGGGCATGTGGGAGGTCATCAGACGGGGGCGTCTGGCCGTCGGCTGGGCACAGACGAGGGATGAGAGGTGCGTGTTGGCAGGACACTGGTCTGTAGCGAGTGGGATTGTCTTGAGCCGCCAGCCGCTAGTGGGTGGGTGCTGTCGTCAGTGTGTTGAAGCGTCAGGTGGTCGAGTGGAGGGAGAGTTGACGAGTCGCCCCGCCGCATGCAGGCCTCAGTGAGACACCAAGTGAGAGAAAGAAGCGGAGGAGTGGCTCGAAGTCACGCCATGAGCACCGCCGAGCGTCCACACAGTTCGTCCGGTGCTGATCTCGCGACGCCTGCAGGAAACACACACCAGACACACGCGTGCTCGTCTGCATCCTGCCTTGATATCTGCGCATCTTCCTCTCTGTCACATGCAATACGTCGTGTGTGGTTTCTGCTGCCTGTGAGCTTCTCTGTTGCCGCCCGTACCTGTCAACGGCCGACGTCCGCCGGCTGGCAGGAGAAGGGGCAGGGAGGGGAGCGAGTCAGACGACGCGCGCGGACGCCTTCCGCCGCCTCTGCCATGCCCAAGAGGGAGGGCAGGTTAGGGAAAAAGGCGAAAGATCTGCAGGCTCAAAATTTGTGTTTCACGCAGCAGCAGGGTTCGGGTCAAAGGGTTGATTACCCTTTAGCCCCACGCGTGAGAGGTGCGCTGTGGCGTTTGTGCCTTGTCGGATAGCTGGGCGTTGCGAGAGTGACGCACTCGGCCGAGAAAGCGGCCGAAGGGAATCACTCGAATCATCCTCCCGGTGGAAGCGGGCCATTGAGCTGACAGCCAAACAGAGGTGAGGGAGGCCGACCACTCACTGACGGACTCACTGATGCGCTCACTAATCCATTGGCCTCAATGCGCTCGCCGTCCTTTTCTGTTGGCATTTCTCTCTCTCTGTACTTGTCGGCCCATCGCTGCAGGCTTGTCGTTGAGGAGTGATGGCGGCCTCCTCATCTGCCAGTGGTGCTGGAGGTGGTGGTGGTGGTGGTGGTGCTTTTTTCCGTTCTCTGCCTGCTGATCTGTCCATCTGAGCATCGAACGAGGTGAGCACACAGATCAATGAGCAGCATGCTTGATGCACACGATCCCCTGTCGGCTCTGTCCCTCTGTGCAGCCTCTCGTCGAGCACATCGTAGCTACCCAGATGCAGCCACCGCAGCGGCAGCACCCCTTCTCGTATATCTTCGTCGGCTGCCGCACCTTCTACCTCTTCAGCAGCATCAAGGACATCCTGCGGCTGAGGGCCACCTGCACCTGGCTCAGAGAGCTCTTCGGAGCGGCCCAGCTAAGAGATCGGCTCCGCCACTCGCTGGACTCACAGGCGGGGCTGCGGCGGGCGGTGAATGGGCAGCAAGTGCAGCTGCTGCGGTTCGACGACGACAAGTTCGGCACACATGATGTGCTGGCGGCTGTGTGTGTGGTGGAGGAGGGGGCCTGGGGCGAGATGGCCGAGGTGATTGAGCTGGCGGGGCAGTGCGGCAACTTTGACCTGCCTGTGACCCTGAGTGGGGCTGACATCAACACACACGCAAACATAACGGTGAGCCAGCAAACAGAGGGGCGGGGAGGGGAGGGAGAGGGCCTCATTCTCTGTGTGTGTGTGGTCGTGTGTGTAGGCGTATGTCTCGGCTCCCCGTGTGTTGGCGCAGCTCAGGATGGTCGGCCGCCACTTCCAGTTCAGTGACGGCAGCTGCCTGCAGCTGTTCCAACACGGCAACGGTGGAATGCGGGCCATCAAGGACCAGCCCGGCTTCGAGCTGGAGGTCGACCCGGCCCTCCCTGCCGGCCACCTGTATCGGCAGCACCGACAGCCATACGACCCACCGGCGACCAACAGCGGCATCATCTACTCGACCGAGGACGGCGGCGGATGGGTGTCGGACGGTGGCCTGTTCACCGATGCGTCACTGTCGTCGTCTGCCAAGTTCATGATCTTCGACCACTTCAGCGAGACTCACCAGACCAACCGCACATCGATAAGACTCAACAGGTGACAAGACATCAATGGCACTAAAGATACCAGGTGCGCCGTTGACTGTGTATGGCTGTGGTTGGTTCAGGTATGTTGGTGGCGGCCGTCTAAATGGCCTGCTGACCGAGTCGCCTCACACACCGATGGCCGGATGCACGACCACAATGGGGCTGGACGGTGATGAGTGGTGGCTGGTGCTCACCAACAGCAGCCACCCCTTCGTCGCATCGATTTCCATCAGCGGAGCAGGAAACAACGACGGTAAGGGAGACAGAGAGGGAGCTCTGCTCGTCAATGTCGCGTGGTCTTCTTCCCCTTGTGTGCAGTGGATGTGCGTGTCGAGACCACTGAGGCGGCTGTGTGTGGGGGTGGCGCCTTCAAGCACCGCTTCCCGGTGACCACTCAGCTGGCTCGCGTGGCGTTGAGGGCGGTGGCGCCATTCGTATTCGACGGACAAGTACAGTAGCAGCATCAGCAGCAAGATCACGACAGTGACGATGGTATGGATAGAGGGAGGGCACAGTCACACACACCACGGAGGCCCCCACGTCGATCTGCATCACACATATGGTTGTGTGTGTGTGTGTGTATTGTGCCCTCGGCAGGTGAGGGTGGAGCAGCTGAGGCGGAGAGCGGCGGCTGATCGATCCATCCATCCATCAGTCACTACCGGTGGGTGAGCAGCGATATGCATGTCGTCTGTCGCCATGTTGTTGCATGTCGCCCTGCACTCTGTGTGTATGTGCGTGCTGGCTGTCATTGTCTCTGAAGCTGATCCGTTTTGAAGACGCATCGCATACCGCTAGGTGTGTGTAAAGAGATATCTGCCCGTCCTCAGGGCCGGCTGCCTGTGGGTGTGGCTGTGGGTGTGAGTGCGTCTCATGCGCTCCGATCATCTGCTGGCCGATTTTGGTGTGACGCTCCGGCCGATGTGTGAGTGTGCATGGCTGCCTGGCTGACTGGGCAGTTGCCATGCGTGTTGCCGGGTGCTCGAAGGGATTTGACAGGGCAGGAGAGGCGCACGAATGATCATTCGATCGAAGGGACAAAGAGTTGCGTTAATTGGCATCATGTGTACACACACGTGTGGGTGGGCGGACACGGATGGCACACATGCAATGCAGGCAGAGAGCCAGTCAGGGGCTCTGTCTGTCTGCCTGTCTGTCAGTCACTCGGTCGGTCGGGCAAAACCAACACTCCCTCACTCACAGTCACAAACAAAGACACATGCGCACACTCGTCAATCCACCAGCAGCCATTCTGGAATGCAGAGATCCATCCATCCATCCATCCAGGCAGTCAGGCACACACGGCCGCGCGCGGATCGCGCGCGGGGATACATGTGTGTTATTGCACACCAGACAGACACGGACACACACATGGGGATCACTCACACACGCGTTGAGACGAAAAAGTATTGGCAACCGGACGAACAGACATGCAGGCAGGCAGGCAGGCAGGTATGCAGACACGCAGGCAGGCAGGCAAGGAAGCGATCCATCCATCCATCAACCATCCCTCCACCCATCACCCCATCAACCAAACCAATCCATTCATTTGTTCAGTCTAGCTATACAAAGCAATCAGTGTCCGCGTGTCTGTGTGCATGTTTGTCTGTCTACCTGTACACTCAGTACGTGTACGCAACCATCCGTGTGTGTGTAGGGATACATCTGTCCGCCTGTCTGTCTGTCTGTCTGTCACGGGTCCCCCCCTCCCTCCCCCCCACCATGTACAAAAACACCACTGGCAGCTACGATCGACGGTCTAGATGTGCAATCAACCGTCGGCGGCCTGACTCACCTCACGTGTGTGGCCATGTATATGTGGTGGATGGACACACGTGCCTTCATCATCTTTGCTGCTCATTGTCGTCTCGCTCGACCTTCATGTAGAAGAGGCAGTAGGCCTCGGCCCGCTGCACCTCATCGGCAGACACCAAATGCACCCGGTCGTCGTCAAACAGATACCACTGCACACACACACACACACACAGAGAGAGAGAGAGAGAGAGCGAGAGTCCATGAATCTTCACATCAGCAGCTGTGTGTTGGGATGTGTGTGCCTTCCCACCGACCTTGCTGTTGCGCTTGGCATAGGCCACATAGTGTCCACCCTGCGACACGCCTGCATGGACGCGACAAAGACAGAGACAGACACAGACACGGGCGAGTGGGTCAATGAACACATCTGTATGTCTGTGTAGGTGTGCCGTGTGCATACCTGTGTGCTGCACCACGCCCAGGAGGTCATACTCAGCGCCGCAGAAGAACCTACACACACAAGCAGACATCACCGGTCACGCGTGTGTCTAAAGCTCCCTCCCCCCTCTCCATCCCTGTCATCCCTCCCTCCCTCCCTCCCGGCTCACTTGTCCATCCATTCGCCCTTCTCGAGTCTCATTGGGATGTCCACCGCCGTCCGCACCTTGGTCAACGTTGAGGAGAACCTACACCAACGAACACACACAGAGAGGGCACACATACTTCGTGGGCTGTGCGTATTGTGTGTGTCTAGTGTAAGGCGCGTACCGTTTGAGGTGGACGAGGAGCAGCTTGGGCACATGTGTGATGGACAGCTGCTTGGTCGCCTGTGGGTGGGTGGTGAGGGCAGACATAGACCATTCTGGGGGTTTTCTTTTTGTGTGTGGGTGTGCATGGGTGCGTACCCGTCTCTTCTGCTTGCAGACCTCACAGAAGTAGTGCTGGTGGCCGGGCTGCACCAACCGCACACTCATCCATCCATCCATCAATCCATCCGCGGACACGTCCATCGCTCTGTCTCCTTGCTGACCTGTCCGAGTATCTCTTCGTCGAAGAAGCTCTCCACACACGTGTGAAGCGACAGACGCGGCGCCTAAACACGCACACACATGAATGGATGGATGTGGGCACACGAACGACATGAGGGACCTCCGTCAACACACACGTAGTTACCCGTTCGAGTGGCAGCGACAAGTCGAAGAAGGGGTCGAATGTGTCGCTGGTGGTCCCGCACATGGTGCACTTGACGCGCGAACGCAGCTGCAGGTACACACACACCGAGGAAGAGACGGATGGACAGGAGCGTATTGTTGTGGGTGTGAGTGGTTACCTGTCCCGAGAAGGTCTCTGCGATGAGGGTGTTGTTGCTCTCGAGGAAGTGGCTCCACCAGCGCTCGGCTGCCTGCACAATCGTCACACGCATACACACATACACAAAGACATGCACATACACACGTGTTCCTCTCCCTCTCTCCCTCTGTGTATGTGTGTTGACCTCGATTTGCGAGTTGACGCCCTCCTTCTTGAGCTGGCGCTCGAAGTCCTCCAGCGAACACGGAGACAGATCCTATCAAACACACACACACACACAAACACACACAGCACACACACACAGACGGCATCCATATGTGGAGGGAGGGATGTGCGTGTGTGTACTATGCCCGTACCCCCTCCTTCATGTCTTCGTGCAGCGTGTCCAGGAACAGACGAATAAACTCATGCGCATCTGCACACACACATCAGATCCACACATGACATGGAATGGACATACACGTAATAAAATGGTATGCTGCAGTGCACCACCACACCCAACCATCGCCCCACACAACAGCAGCAGTACCCTGTTGCTGAAAGTCGAAAAAAAGCGGCGACACAGTGCGCCGCAGCTGAGACAGCAGACCTGCACACACACACACACGTGAAGGCAAGGCCTCCATGTGTTGGCGTGGATGTGAGTGCATCTGAGTGAGATTGTGGGTGTGTACCGTTGCATGAGAAGTAGGAGCGTCTCGGCGGCGTCAGGCTGAGCTCGGTGAGCACGTCCAAGAGACTCCGCGTCAACTCTGATGAGTCGGTCGTCACGCTGGTGTGGAAATCACACACACAGGAAGGGAGACAGGGATGGATGGATGGATGTGTGTGTGGGTCTATAGGAATGTGGGTGAGGTGAGTGTGCGTACTTTTCTCTGAAGCCTTTGGCGAACGATGGGATGCCGGCGAAACACTGCTCGCAGAGAGAGACGCACATATGTTGACGTGGATGTGTCCGTGAAGTGGAGTTGATGAGGTGCGAGCGTAGCGTACCTGCAGCGATGCGTTCATGAAGCACGTGTTGCCGAGGTTGGCCAGGCCAGCGGGGAAACGCGACAGCCCTGCACAACCACACACACACACACACACACGTGTGTGCAGACACATATATGGGCGCATCGAAGCGTCATGCGCACCGCTGGTCGTGTCCCGATCCCGGTCGCGAGAGCTGTCCCCATTGGAAAACGAGCCACTCCGGTGCTCTGAACACACACACACACACACACGAAGAGACGACACACACCGTCAGATAGAGGCACACACGTGCAGTGCAAGCGAAGCGTACCCCTTCGTTTCCTGTCGAGTGCAGGGGCGCTGACGGCATAGGGCGAGTTGCTGCACACACACACACACACACACGCACACACGTGTCACCACATGGGGTGTAGGGCAGAATGAGCGCGTGTGCGTGTGTGGTGTGTGTGGGCATGTACGCGTGGTAGGGCAGTGACGGCAGGCGGTCGCTGCTGGTGGGGGGATGGGGAGGCAGCTCGCTGCAGCCACACCACACCACACCAGACGCATCAACCTGTGCATCTGTGTGTGTGATCCGTCGGTATGCACCTGTCGTCACGGCCTCTGTGTCTCCGTGAAGACGATCGGCGCCTGCATCAATCCATCCATGCATCCATCCACCGAGGCCCATAGTGTATGTGTGTGGGTGTAGGCTGACCGTTCGGTGTACTCAACGTGGCCGTTTGGCGTGTGAGCGTGAGAGTGGGAGTGAGAATGAGAGTGGTGCCGATGGTGCCGCCGCTCACGGTCGCGATCTCGATCCCGATCTCGCTCTCTCTCGCTGCTCGACCGCCTGCATCCCCACAGGCGCCACACACACAGAGGCGAGTGACGGCACACACGTGTTCAGTTCAGTGCGCACCTGCTTGGCCCGCTGGAATGGGAGTAGCCATCCCTGTGTGAGTGGGGGGACACACAGATGTCCGGGTGGGTGTTTGTGTGAGGGTGGGTGTTTGTGTAGGTACCGTTCTCGCCGCCGCGCGCGAGCGTACACCTGAGCAAGGTCCGTGTACCCTGCACACAATCACACACACACACATAGATGCATCCCCCTTGCCGCAAGTGTGGGCAGACAGACAGACAAACAGGCATTCAGACATACCGGACAAGTGGGCCGGCGGCATTGAGTCCTCCGGCACAGCAGCGATGGGCGGATCTGTGCCGCACACACACCACACCCCAGAGGGAAGAGGCGACATGCGTGTGGGATGGTGTGGTGTGGTGTGCTCATTCGCTTGTCACCGTAGATCTCCAGCCGCATACGCTTGACAATGGGCCCGCCACTGCACGCGCGCACGCACACGAACAGACACACACTGATGGGTATACACAAGGGGGAGCGTGTCGGTGGAGTGTACGTACCCATAGCGTGCGAGCCAGAAGCGCCAGATAGACGAATTGACACCTCTGGACCAACACATACGAGCACACAGACCCCGTTGCATATCTGTGAGTGTGGGAGTGTGTGTGCGTGCGTACCGGTAGTCGGCCGAGCACTGCAGCCCGTTGCGCAGATTCCCCTGCGCGTCAAAAAACACACCATTTGCGATTGGGCCGGGCAGGGGGCCGCTGCACACACACACATACACACACACACAGAGAGAGAGAGGCGTTCACACAGTTGGCTGTTTGTCTGTGTGTCTGTGTGTGTCAGCACGCCTTCCGCTGGCACCTACCTCTTTTGGACGAATTTCTTCCACGAGGCGATCCACTGGGCGCTGACCAAATAATAACACCCCTGATTGATTGACAACAACACCGACACACACAGTAAGGGTTCTGTCCATTGTGTCCACAGCTGTGTGCGTAGAATAGACGTACGTTCTCGTCGACATAGGTGGTGTCGTATTCCTTGATGAAGCGAATCTCGTCACTCGCACGGTACAGCAGCTCCTGATTGATTGATGACACCACACACACAAACAAACAAGAAGCGGACACAGGGGTAAATGGGGAACGGAACGGGATAGGCGCAGATAACGTACCTCTTCTGAGCAGGCGCTGTTGTTATCGACGGCTGGTGGGGTCGGGGGGGTGGGGGGCAGCTGATGATTGGAGGCATACACACACACACACACACAGAGAGAGAGAGAGAGAGCGTATGTGGCACATATTCAGCACATCGACCTGCCACACCACACCCATGCGCACACGTGCGCACCTGTCCACTGCTGCTGCTGGTGCCGTTGTTGTTGTTATTATTGCCGTTACTGACATCCGTTTTCTTCTCACTGTGGTCGTCTGCTCATTCACACAGGCACACCAAACAGAAGCACAGAAACGGTCTGTCTGCCTCTTTATGTGTGTGTGTGTGTGTGTATGTGTGTGTGTACCATTGCTGGTCTTTGCAGGCAGCTCCACAATCTGCGGGTGGGTCCCATTCTGCTGCTCCAGCGGCGTCTGCACATTCACAACAAGGCACACACGCAAGGCATTCTCATCCGTCTCTCATAAACAGTTAGAGACTGACAGGCCTGCATACCTCATCGCGTGTGGTGCCGTTGTCCGCAGACTTGCTGTCGCTCGCCGCCGCGGCTGCCGCAGGGACGCACACCTGCACACACACATCACCACACACAACGATTGGCTGACTCAGACTACGCTCAGGGTGTCTGTCCATTTCTCGTACCATCTGGTGCTCCTCTGTTTGCTGCTGCTGCTGCTGCTGCTGCTGTGGCAACGGTGGTGGTTGTGATGGCCTCCCGCCGCCCTCATTCTTGGACGACGAGGCTGACGCTGACGCTGCTGACGATGCCGACAGCTGCTGCACATGGTTATGGTTGTTGTGGCGCACGTCATTCTACACCAGCACATACACGAGACGAGCAGAAGTGAGGTGCTGTGGACGGTATCATGCGTATGTGTCGATAAGCGCACCTGCGCCATCGCCATCTCTCCATGTGAATTTGTCTGGCCATTCTCTCTCGGATGATGCGGCTGATGGTGCTGCTTGGCCGCCTTGTCCTTGACAGCCGATCTCACCACCTCCCTCTGCAACCAAGTACATACAATAGAGAGAGATACACACCTGCTGCAGGGAATCCCTCTCCATCTGTGTGTGCCGGGGCTACGTGTTGTGGCGGGTGAGGGACGGCCACATCGCTGGGCCGCGACGCACAATTGCCCATCCTCTACACACACAAAGATAGGCAGACGGACGGACAGATAGACAGACGGCCGCTCAGCAGGACTCCCTCCGTGTGTTGAGTGTGCCCATCCTCGTTCCTTCGAAATACCTCTGCTCGTCACGACCCCCTCCTTGTGTTGCTGCTGCTGCTGCAGTGTGCAGACAGCCACACTGTCTGTCAGGCCTTCTACACACACCTGCACACACAAGCAGACAGGCAGAGAGTCAGGAACTATAGCACCCACCACCCACAGCCACAGCCACCCCAGGCAGCAGCTGACCGTTGACTGAAATGTGAGCTGCCTTGCTGCCGCCTCAACGACAAATCTCCTCTGCCTCTCCCTGTCAACTGCTTTCCCGCTGCTGTGCCTCCCCCAGTCTCACCTCTGCGGGTTTAGCTTGCCCGCCCATGAGCTCGCACCTGGCGATCTCCTAAGGCGAGTCTCGGTTTCTTGGCTGCTGACGGGCTTGTGCGGTTCGCAGAGAGTGCACACACCGGTAATGAAGCAAGAAACGGGCGAAAAAGTCGGTCTGGGTGGCCTGCATCTGAGTCTGTCTCTCTCTGGGGATGCCTGTGCGTGTGTGTAGAGGCAAGCAGTGCCTGATTTGACCAAGACAAGATGCCGCTGGAGGCGACGCTGCTGTGCATCGGTACGCACGCTCACAACCCAGAAAGGCAGAGAGAGATGCACCCGGCATAGACGTGATCACGTGTGTTGATTGCGCCGGCATCTCTTGTCTGTCTGTCTGCCTGCCTGTCTGTCTGTCTGTCTGTCTGTCTGTCTGTGTCCTTCCCTCCCTGCCACCAGACAACAGTGAGTACACGCGCAATGGTGACGTGAGCCCGACGCGATTCGAAGCACAGGTAGATGGATGTGGGCTGGCGCAGGGAGGGAGGGCAGAGAGAGGGAGAGAGATGTGCACCAAACAAGGGCCTCGTTCTGGGTGACTCTTTGTTGTGTATGGCTGTGTGTATTGTCCTTACATCCATCAGTTGGACAGTGCGAATTTGATATGTGGCGCCAAGACGCAGCAGCACCCGGAGAACTCTGTCGGCATCATGACCATGGCTGGCGAACGGTGCGCGACCTTGACGCAACAACACCACCTAATACAACACAAGACAACTCGTATGTGTCCCCGTGTGCATGTGTGTGTGTGTGTGTGCAGCGTTGAGGTGCGCGTGACGCCCACGGTTGACCTCGGCAAGATGCTCAGCGGACTCAGCCAGGTGAGGTGACGACGAGCAGCCGAGTCAAGAAATGTATGCAGCGTGTGTGTGCGTGTGATGGTTCGTGTCCACTGAGTGCAGATATCGATTGCCGGGACGAGCGATTTCCTGCGAGGCATCCAGACCGCACAGGTGCGTCTGCGCAGCGCAGCGCAGCAGCCTCTGTACAGGAAGGCATGAATGTGTGTGTGCAGCTGGCTTTGAAGCATCGGCCCAACAAGAACCAGAAGCAGCGCATCGGTACCCACACACTTGTCTGTCTACACACACCCAGGTGTGTGTGTGTGTATCGCGTGTCGTCATCAGTGTGTTTCATCGGTTCGCCCGTCGAGGCCACGGAGAAGCAACTCGAGACCATCGGTAGTCTCCCTCCCCACACACAGACACAGACACAGACACGTGAATATTCATCTGTCTGTCTGTGTGCGCATTTCTGCGCAGGCAAGAACCTGAAGAAGAACAACGTCGCGCTGGACCTCATCTCGTTCGGTGCACCTCCCACCAGACGCACACACACAGAGACAGACAGACAGACAGAAAGAGATGGAACGTGTCTGTGTGGGGGTCTTGTCTGTGGCTGCACGTGTGTGTGCATGCAGGCGATACGCAGCCCAACAGCGCCAAGTTGTCCAAGCTGATCGCCACTGTCGACAGCAACAACAACTCCCACCTGGTGGAGGTACAAACACATATACACAGAGGGACATAGGGACAGAGATACACACAGCAAAGAGGGGAAGAAATGCGCTCACCTGTGTGTCGGCGCGTCCTTGCACAGGTGCCCTCTGATCGCATCTTGTCGGACTACCTGCTGTCATCGCCCATCAGTACGCACAACCACAACACGCACACAGGGTTCTATCTGTTGACTCAGTCGAGATGTCCGGCGGCGAGGACGGCGTTCCCATGGACACTGAAGGAGGAGGTACGTCGGTCGACACGCAGATGTCCTCAAGCACACAGACCGATCGCACACACTGCGCCTGTCTGTGTGTGTGTGCGCAGGTGTGCCGGGCGGTGCTGCGACTGGCGGGGGCGGCGCCAACGAGTTCGGCGTCGACCCAAACGCAGGTCGGTATCTCCTCACACACCACACACACTCATGAGTGGATGGAGTGTGTGTGTCATGGTGTGTTGTGTCGTCGTGTGTGTGAGTGCAGATCCCGAGTTGTACATGGCGCTGCGCATCTCGCTCGAGGAGGAGAGAAGCAGACAGCAAAAGGGACAGGAAGGTCAGTGAGTCGACTGCCCTCATACCCATACCCACACCACCAACACTCACCCACATGATGGAGGATACATACACGTGTCCCCTCAGATGCGCCAGCCGGCCAACAGCAGCAGCAGCAGGAGCAACAGCCTGCACAAGAGGGCGGCACAGCCACGGCCACAGCACAGGAGGGGCAGACACAGGCACAGACCGCAGGTACGAGTGAGCGTGTTCACTCATTCACAGCACAAACATACGTGAATGTGTTCTTTTCTCGTTCTACAGCTGCCCCGGCGGCACCAGCGGACACATCAGCCGACCGCGCCATGACGCGTGCAGAGATCGAGGCCATGGAAGGTGCGTCTGCTTCATTCCTGTGTGTGCGTGCGCATGGACATCACGGCCTCACACACACATGTGTGTCCATATTTCTAAGCAGGTGTTGACGACGAGTTGCGTCAGGCGCTGCTGCTGTCGCTGCAGGAAGACGCCGCACCGCCGGCCGCTGGTAGGGAGGCTGGCAGCGGTGACGGGTGCGAGGTGATGCACATGCTGTTCATATCTGTGTGTGTGTGCAGACGTGCCGATGGAGCAGGCCAAGCAGGAGGAGCAGCCCGCTGCACCTGCCGCTGCCACTGCTGCAGGTGCGCACACACACATGCGCGGCACTCTCTCTTTCTCTCTCTTTCTCTCTCTTTCTCTCTTTCTCACGACGCTTTGCCTGTGTGTGTGTCATTGGGTCGGCAGGTGCCTCAGCAAGTGCTGCTGCCGCTGGTGGTGGCGGTGAGGGCCAGACCGCCGCCGCTGCCGCTGCTGCAAGTGCTGGTGCTGGGGGTGCTGCCGGTGCTGGGGGGGATGCCATGTTTCAAGATCCCGCGTTCGTGGAGCGGGTACACACAGAAGCAGACAAGGATGTCATGCCGCCGATCCTCTATGCATGTGCGTGTGTGTGTGTGAGGTCAGATGTTGGGGAGCCTGCCGGGCGTCGACGTCAACGACCCCCGCATCAGGGAGGCACTGCAGCAGGTACGCATCTGTCCATCCATCCTCCACGGAAGTGTCCGTGGATGTGGTTGGTGTGGTTGTGTGTGCAGCTGCATGGTGGGCAGGGTGAGGGTCCGTCTGGTGCGGAGGGTGGCGACAAGAAGGATGGCGACAAGAAAGACGACAGCGACAAGAAGCAGTGAGACAAGGGTATCTATCACTGACTGACCTGCAGGGAGGGAGGGATGTGTCGGGCGGGGCACACGGCTGGCTGGCCATGGTTGCTTTCTTCCTTTGCACGTGTGTGAGGGTTGTCTGTCCATCATAGATAGACCCAGACAAAATCTTGAGCCTGTCTGTCTGTATGGTTGTCCCTGCTTGACTTGCAACGTTGACCAACACACGTGTGTGCGCGGTTGGAATGATGCGTCACCTGAAAAGCTGTCAACTGGGTGGGCATTGCAAAGCACTTGCACAGTACGTGCATGACGGTGAGACATGATGAAGCGGCACAAAGCCAACCAGTTCGAGTCTGTATTTCCCCATACCCACACAAGCATTCCAATCCACACATATACACAGAAAGCCAGGCCGTATATCTTCCCATCGTCCATCATACGGTATCGGCTTGCGATCCCACCTAGTAAGCGGGTTCATGGCTAACCTGCGGGACCACACCTTCTTGCCTATCGATCTCTCACCATCTGCAATTCTGAGGAGAAGTTCTTTCATCGCCCAACAGACTGCTTCAGACCCGCTTCTATCTAGTCATCAGTGCAGCCACTGAGAGCCTTGAGCATCTTACGTGGCTTCACCAGCTCGACAGAGAGGTGCTTCTTCCCCCCTGCCCTCGTTGTTGAGATGATAGTTCCTGCTGGCGCCTCAGAAAATTATACTCATCCTCGAGCTTCTTTATCAGCATTATCTGGTTGATCGTCCTTCATCTCCTTCAAGTCCTCCTTGGTCGCGGCCTCTGCAGCGCACATGCACACACAGACAGACAAAGACACCCATGTGGCACATCAGGTGCATCGCCAGGTCGCTTTCTTTCTTCTTCTCTGTTGTCAGTGTGCGCGTTCCTCTTTCTAGTGTCGTCATATGTGTGTGTGTGTGTGTGTGTGTCGCTCTCCCTCCCTCCCTCCCTCCCTCTCTCTGTGTGTGAGGTGCGTTCGTACCAGGGGGCGGTGTGCAGTAATGTGTTTGGTACAGCAGGGTGAGTTGCTGCATGGTCGCCAGAATGAGCTGATTGGTGGACAGAATGCGCTGCGTGAGGAGCTTGCGAGTGTCGGGATCCTTCTCCTGCTCGAGCTCTTCCTCGACTTCTGCCTTTTCCTGCTGCAGCCCATCCTGCTCTGATCGAAGCTCCCAGATGAGTTGGTCCAGCTTCGCAGGGGTGCGAATCAGATCTCTGCTGCTCTCTGATCTCTCGTATGCCATTCTGAGTGGTAATAAAGTCGAATAACTTCTCCTGGAACGCCTTGTTGTCCTCCAGGAACGCCTTGTTGCTCTCCTGGAACGCCTTCAAGTCCTCCTTGGTCACTCCCTCTGCAGCGCACACACACACACAGAGAGACAAAGACACCCATGTGGCACGTCAGGTGAATAGCCGGGTCGCTTTCTTTCTCTCTGTCGTCATGTGTGCGCATTTCTCTTCTCTTCACATGCTTGTGTGGGTCGTTCTCTCTCCCTCCCTCCCTCCCTCCCTCCCTGTGTGTGTGAGAGGTGCGTGCCTACCAGGGCGCTGTGTGGAGAAGAGTGCTTGGTACAGCGTATTGAGTCGGTTATCGATTGACACAATGCGCTGGTCGGTCGACACAATGAGCTGCTGGAGGCTGTTGATGACGGTCTCTTTGTCCTCAGGCTGCTTAAGCGCGAGAGCAAAGTGCTGCTTCAGTTGTGCCTCTTCCTGCTCCAGCGCCGCCTTCTTTTCCCGAAGCTCCCTGATGCGACTGTCCAGGTCGGCAGGCGGGGCGGTATCGGCGTCATTGGTCACCTGCACCCACCACACACATTCAGTTGCCTGCGTCAGTCACCGATCGCCTGGCCTCCCTCTCCCACCGACCCACCATGAGTGCAGTGGAGCCACGGAGCCGCCGGTGTCGATGGGGAGTGGACGAAGATGACTGCACCACGACGGTAGGCAGAGGCAGGGCGGCCATCCACTCAGTCGGCTCGGCTCGCCGCACGTCCAGCTGCTGCTGCTGGCCACCAGAGTGGGAACCCACATGCTGCAGGTGGCGGATGGCATAGCCGAGGGGAGGCACGAATGCGACGACGGCAGTGGCCCACACTCCCACCAGCAGCACCAGCAGCAGCATGGTCTTTGTGCCTACCATCGGCGTCACAGGCACACACATAATGTGGTGACTGGATGCCGCGCGCCTCTCTCGGCCCTGACGTACCTGTCACTTGTTGGTCACCAGTCTGATTGTTTGAGCGGTGGGCGAACAGCCGAGGCGAAACCGACCAATCTGACGCACACACACCGAGCTCAGCGAGGCTCACAGTTCGGTGTGGTCTGCCTCGGTACCTGACGCTGGTGGACGGGCGGCAGCGGAGGTCCTCACTGAAGGGCTGCACAGAAATGGGAGCAGAGCGACAGCTGATGAATCCTCAAGCATGCTGCCTAGAGATCTTCGAGTTCCTCACCTTCCTGGATGCTCAGATGGCGAGTATCTGGATCACAGGGCCTTTCCTCACCTTTGAGCTCGCAATGCCGTGAAACGTTCTTTCGGCACTCGTTGCCGAGTGCATTGAAGACAACTCGTGTGATTCTGACCCGATTACATCGAGCGTTGAGTGACAGGGGGACCACCAGATGCTGCCGGATGGCATTCTGACCCACTTCGCCTGCCCTCCCGACCTTTGAGGTCAGACGCACGAGACGACTGCGGTGATCAGAACCCGCCCAGTCACAGGCCACTCCTCTCGGGGTGATCTGGTCCGATGAAAGTGCGCCAGCAGTGCGAGTAGTCGGACGGCACAGCGCGGGAGCTGGTGAAGCGGTCCGTTCGCCAGCGGCCTCCTCACTCTAAACGAAGCCCAGGACCTGGACCACCACCCCACACGAGGTGGTGACCTCCCCCTCTCGGCTACACCACACCGCAGCAGGGAGGTACACACAGCAAAGCAGCCGACACACTTGAATGCACGAGACCAAACATGTGCTCATGTCGTTGTGTGTGTACTTGCTGTTGATGCAGACTGCCCGCATTGCCAAGGCGACAGACAGCCGCGGAATCAAGCAGCTCACTCTCAGCTGGTCATCGCCCAAGAAGGCCAAGAAGTCCCCCCTGCGACCACTGATGGGCGAGGGAGAGAGAGAGAGAGAGAGAGGAAGGGATGGCGATGTCGCTGAGCCGCTCCCCTGACGAGTCTCGCGACCCATCCAATCAACAGACAGCCGACCAACACAACACAACAGCCGACCACTCTGGTGCCACTGGGCACCACCACGTGACCTCTGCCATGCCATCCATCGGGGCACTGACTGCATGAGTGCCGTGTATCCTGTGGGCCCTTCGTGAGCGCATTTGTGTGTCTGTGTGTGCGTCAGGTCGCCACTGAGGTGTTGGCAGTCGGGCTGTTAGTGAGTGCCCTGCACCCATTTGTGTGCAGAAATGGTCTGTTTGCTACCGTGATGTGTGTGTGCAGAAGGGTGTTGAGAACGACCGCAGCTGCCGCCTGTCGGTGCCGGCTCACATCGACGAGGTGTGGCACTCAGTGCTGGTCGATCCGGTGCTGTACATGTCGCTCTCGCGCATCGTCGGCATCGAACCCGTCATTCCACAGTACGCCAATCAAGATACGCAAGAATACACAGACCACAGAATGCATGGCGGTGTTCTGTGTGTCGGGGTGTGTGTGTGTGGCTCCTTCGCTGACCTGATGCAGTAATCCAATGGGCGAGTACGACAGCGATGAGTTGAAGATGCGCCGCCGGCAGGCCGCCTTAGACAAGTTTGCAGAGCTCTATGGATACCCATACATACACAGCAGTGAGTAAGCTGAGTTGGACACACACGAGCTGGGTGATTGTGTGGATGGATATGCGTGTGCGGTGGGGATCGTGCCTGCAGTGGTGGTGGCGCGTTGGGGTCAGGTGCTTCACACACCCGCCCACATTGTAGGAACACAAGACGCACATGCCCGCCTTCAGCGCTCTCTCTCTCTGTGTGTGTGCGTGTGTGTGTGTCTTGTGCATGCTATGCTGCAGCAAGAGTTGGAGCGTCACGCGCAACACTTTCCACCTGTGGGCCTATGTGTCGGGGACTATGTCTGGTTGACTGATGGATGGATTGATGCGAGTGCTGGCTGAAAGGATGCACATCCCATGTACACGGCTGAGACACACGTTTCTGGCCTGCCTCGGATGCTTCGACAGAGCACTACACTACGCCACACCACTAGCTGTATGCGTCCGCTGTGCGCATGTATGCATAAATGTATCGGGGCAATGTCTGAGATTGATGGATGCCCACATACATGCACGGACTGGATGCGTCTCAAAGAGTTGTTCACATAAACACAATGCACATAAACACAATGCACGCTGCTTGGCACATAAGCGCATCCAAAAAAGGGAGCCCCAACATGCATCAAAGAACATCCACGATGTGGCTTCTCTCACCCACCCACAAAACACACAAAAAAGCTCTCACTGCACCTCCATCCACATCAGTCCTCTCCCTCGGCCGGATGCTCCCACGTGCGCCCCGCCAACGGAAACATCACAAACATCAGCTCCCCCTTGGCCGTCTCCGCCTCTCTGACGCTGCGCTCGTCGGCCAGCAGAATTTCGATCGACGACGCCACGTCTGGCGTCCCGACACCCGGCAGCTTCAGCTCCTTCATCAGCAATGCATACTCCAACACATCCTGCCCATCGCAGACAGACGTGGAGGCACATTTGCGCGTGTTGCGTGTGTGTCTGTTTGGCCTACCGCGCCGTAATCTGATCTGTCCCGATGCTGAAAGCCCGAGTTGCCGTGCCTGAGCCTCCGCTCAAAGTCGCGCATCGTCTCATGCAGCAGCAGGGCATACATCGACTTGGCCTTGGGGTCCTTGGCGTTCAGGCCGCGCGGCTGGAGTATCGATCGCCGCAGCTCGGGGGGAAGCTCGCTCAGGCCTTTCTCCCGGATGTACTTGACGCACCTGCCAAGAGTGGTCCTCGGGTGGTAGATGTGGTGCACATTCTTCGTCTCCTGATTGAACCAACAATTGTACCCTTAATCAGTCTGTCTGTCTATCTGTTTATACCTCCGACAAGAATCTGATCTCGATGACGTGTCCCGCCTTGGCTGCGGCGAGCATTGCCGTCCTGCTTGGTGCGATCCTGTCGGCCTCGGGGTCGGTGTTGGCTGTATTGGCTCGGCCGTGGTGGTACGAAAGAGACGCACAGAGGTCGCCATGACCTGCATCCCAGTCCGCCTTCTGACAAGCCTGCATTGACGACCCATACGCATGTACAAAGAGAGGGAGAACACATAAAAGAGAGGGAGAACACATACATATGCGGGATTCATCCATCGAGTGGGGGGACCTCGGAGCAGTAGGTGGCGTGCAAACAGTGAATGCACCGCTAAACACAACAACAGAAACAACAGCGGTGCGCCTCTCTGGGAGCTTCGATCGCCTGTCTGTCTGTCGGTCTGTCTGTCGATCTGTCTGTCTGTCTGTCTCTTCTTACCATGTGGCCAGGCTCGCCGCACACCGTGCATTTCGTGGCAACACCACACCCCTCAGATGGGATCCGGTTCATGGGCTCAGGACGTGCGGGGACATTGACAAGTGAAGCACCACCCAGCGTGCAAACGTCGGCGTCGTAGATCATCTTCATCAACAGCACACACGCCTGCACCCACCCACCCATCCATCCATCGACCCATCCATCCACATGTGGAGGCGAAGTATGTGTCATCTTACGGTCGCATGGCAGCCATTGACACGTTTGTAGATCTCCCGGCCATCGGCACGGCCGCAGACGTTCATGAAACTCTGCACATCGGTGCACGGTTGGTCGGTCGTCGGTGATTCTTGCTCCCTCCCAGACTCACATATGTTGCTGTCCGCCCGCAGATCTCGCAGTTGAGGACAGTGCTCTCGGTCTGTGTGCCCTCTGCTGTGTTGGTGCTGGTGTTGTGCTCGGTGTCTGCTAGTCTCTTGCAGAGGTCCTTGTGGCCCATGTCACGCCAGTCGACAGCCTGACAATCCTAAACACCACAGCACAGCACAGCACAATCCCTTCCTCTCTTCGTGTTTGCGTTGATGTGTTCAGTTCATGTGAAGACCTTGGAGCAGTACAAACGCTGCCGGCATCCACCACATCGCTGATATAACACACGCAGCAACACCGCCCCCGTTCATTCTCTCTCCCCCTCTCTCCCTCTTTCTGCATGCGTGTGTGTGTGTGTGTGTGGTGGGTCATACCTTCGGCTGTGTGGCGTCTTGCGAGCAAACGTCACACTTCAGCTGTCCGGGTGCAGGTGGGCTGGTCATGAGCCGAAATGCCTCGTTGGCTGGCTGCTGATGCGCGTGGAAGCAATTCTTGAGGGAGGCAGGGAAAGAGGGAGATGGCGTCACGGGTGCGCATATACGTGTGTCTGTGCTGTGTGTGGGTACGTCCGAGCAAAGGTAGAAATAGTCGAAGGCAATGCGGTCGCCATCCACGCACATGCCGAAGCGCAACTGACCAAACACAGACACAAAGCGAAAGCGAAAGACGGATACGATAACGGATGGGTGGCTTCCTCATGCCATGTCAATATCGTACCTTGTCGGTTTTCCTCCCGCAGGAGGCGCACATTTTGGCATCCTCGCGCCGCTGGTGAAATGACGCGATCTCCTTGGCACAGTCCTAACACACGCACACACACACACACACACACAGAGAGAGAGAGAGAGAGAGAGACTCGTGTGTACACACGTGCATGGCGACGCTTGATAGGCAAGAGGTGTCTTACGCACGTGGGAGCAGACGTGTGTGCGGATCACGCGCGTGTCGTTGCTTTTGAATACACCGCGAAGGTTTTCCTTCACCACCTGCACATCTGTCACAGGCAACAAAGGGACGGAGAGGGAGGTGCCGGGGGCATGCGCGCTGACACGCTTACCAGAGTGGGCGCACTCTTATTGCAGATTTGACACAACTGCGGCACCTGAGCTGCCTGATCGTTGCTGGCGCTTTGCGAGGCCATTCGGCTCCTCTTGCTGTTGTGCCGCGACGCACACGCCTGCATGCACACACACACACACACACTCACTCACACACAGGGCGGTCACACGTACAACCACTTACCTTTGAGCAGAAGGGCTTCTCCTCTCCACGAGCACTCTGCAAAGACAATGATACAGATCGTGCTTCGTCTCTTGCCCCGAGTGTCCGTAGCGTTGTCCTGGGTTACCCTTTTGCCGCATTCCGCGCATGCCTCCGAGCAGCCCCTCTCAGCCTTGGCGTGTTTGGCGTTCGGGCAGATGCGCTTGTGATTCTTCCAGTCCTGTGCAGAACTGACACACCTGCACGAAACAAACAGCATGTCATGCCGTATCCATGTGCACCAGTCGCGCTTGCCCTTGAGCAGTAGGCGACTTGCAGACACGAACAGCTCTGCAGATAAAGGACCTCAGACATCCGTTAATGAGACGACTCATCTTCCCATCGAGATGGGATGTACCTGGGGAGCCGCAGCGCCACAGACAGCACATTCCATCATCCTGGAAGCGCGTTCGCTCCTCAGGAGATCTGCCTTTCCAAACTCGAGCTCGCAAAATGATGGATCGTTTTCGAAATACTCATCGCGCGGCTCTGTTGAAACAAGCTTGCTCTGTTGACTACGTACGTGAGCCAACACATCACACTGACACCAAGATCTGCGCCCCAACGCGTGTGGAGGTGGACGTCCGCCGTCAATGTGCAGCGTATGGATGCATCACAAGGAGGAGAATTCGAGTTACATTCACTCGTTGCATTGAGCTACATTCTGCCATTTTGTGTGCGCCGCTGCTGGAGCCATTGTCTTCGCCTCTGGAGCCAGCACACACACACACACACACACAGAGAGAGAGAGAGAGAGAGACGCGGCACTCACCACGCATCACACGCACCAGAGCAAACATGTGGCACTCTCGGCACTCTCGGCGCACGAGCAAACAGGCGATGCATGCGAACCACTGGGGGAAACGCTGCAGACACACACATATACCATAGGTCGGTGTCACGTGTTTCCAAGACATTTCTCTCTCTCTCTCTGTGTGTGTGTACGAGGGCGGCGTCCATCCACCCCCTGCGCTTATTCGGTCGTCTCTCTGTGGGTGGGTGGGTGGGTGGGTGGGTGAGTGAGTGTGGGCGGCGCCATGCTCGTCAGTGTTCACAGCCTTTGTGCGTGTGTGCGCGTAGCGTTGTGTGGATCTGCCGTGTGTGCACGCAACTACAACTATTGCCATGTCTCCCTCTTCTGCGCAACGTGACAGGCTCGTATGTTGCGCCAGTGAAGCTCTTGAGTCTCACGGCACACCATATATATGACCAACAGCCACATGACTACGTGTCCTCACACACACTGTCACACAGCATTCCTATGCGCCGTCCGATACCAAGACAACAGAAAATGGCCTATTTATAGCTGCGGAGGAACTGCCGTACTTCGCCCGGATCGCGAGCGAGTGTTCCGGGCGCAACATCCAGTGGGGTCTTTTTCTGAGGTAAGCAAGCAGTAAGATCATCATGACATCAAAGCGACAGGAAAAGCCACTTCATTGTTCTCCTTGGTCAGGAGATGGGCACCACCCCAGTCCATCAGTTGCTTAACGACCGGAAGGAACTCCCGTCTGAGAAAGAACTGCTCAACCGCCAGATGAATAGCGTAGTTGCCGTCCTGCGTACACATCACAAAGATATCACCTGATACTATCCCGTGGCACTATTCCCCTTACTTCATCGTGTTGTTCTAAGAGCGCGTTGCCTCCAACAGCATGCATCGCCCGCATTGCGCGGACATGACCGCCAACCGCAGCTATGAGGAACGGTGTCCTCTTTTTCTGTAGCCACCAATGATAGGCACATACCATCAACCACATTGTCAACGCGATTCATGGATACCTCACCTTATCCTGTTTGTCCAGCTCGGCTTTCCCGCCCCACGACAGTAGCTGATCAATCATGGCAACATTTTCCCCCTCAGCTGCGTAATGGATTGGAAAGCTGCCCATCTGCATTCCACATCCACATTAGGACCAATCAAGTTTATTTATGTCGGCAGTGCAGTGGCACTTACTTCTGTGGTCTCGGAGAGACACGCCTTGCCTTTTCTGGCGAATATATATATCGCTCGCATCGCATCAAGGCGACCATCTCGCATGGCGAGAAGAAACGGTGTCGACCTCCCCTCATACCACCAAAACAACAGGACAGGGTCCGTACTCGATTGACCTTTTCCAACATCCAGTGGGGTCTTTTTCTGAGGCAAGCAAGCAGCAAAATCATGAGATTAAAGCGACAAGAAAAGCAACCTCATTGTTCTCCTTGGTCAGCAGTTGGGCACCACCCCACTCCATCAGTTGCTCAACGGCCGCAACAGAATTCTCCATAGCTGCTAGATGAATAGCGTAGTTGCCGTCCTGCGTACACATCACAAAGATGTCACCTGATTTTGTCTCATTGTACCCTTCCTCTTTCACTTCATCGTGTTGCTCTAAGAGCGCGCTGCCTCCAACAGCATGCATCGCCCGCATTGCATCGACATCACCGCGAGCCGCAGCTATGAGAAAGGGTGTCCTCTTTTTCTGTAGCCGCCAATCATAGAGACAGCATCCACATCGTCAACACAATTTGCGCGATGCCTCACCTTATTGTTCTTCTTGGTCAAGAGTTGAGCGCCACCCCACTCCATCAGTTGCTTGACGGCTGCTTCAAGACCACGTTGCTTGACGGCTTCAGAAGAATGCTCGTGGTCTTCGATGGAAGGATGAATACCATCCCACTTGGGAAGTTTCTTTCTCTTGAGAACTGCTAGATGAATGGCATAGTTGCCATCCTGCATGCACATCACAAAGATATCACCTGACGTTGTCATGTACCCATCTCACTTCATCGTGTTGTTCTAGCAGCTCGCTGCCTCCAACAGCATGCATCGTCCGCATTGCATCGACAGCACCGTCAGCCGCAGCTATGAGAAAGGGTGTCCTCTTTTTCTATGACCACCAACAATAGACACATGTGGCAGCCACATTGTCAACGCAATTCATGCGATACCTCACCTCATCATGTTTGTCCAGCTCGGCTTTCCCGCCCCACGAGAGCAGCAGATCGATTATGGCGACGTTTCGAATTTCAGCTGCATAATGGATTGGGAACCTGCTTCTCTGCATTCCATATACACGTCAGGACTAATGGAATTTGTTTATGTCGACAGTATGGTGGCACTCACATGATCGTCAGTGAAAGGCCGTGCGACCCGTGCCATAGGTTTGGCAATGGCGTTCGTCTCCTCGCCGAAGTCTACTTTCTCGGAGAGACACGCCTTGCCTTTTCTGGCATATATCGTCCGCATCGCATCAAGGCGACCATGCCGTATGGCGACGAAAAAGGGTGTGAACACCACATGCCGTCCGTCAATGTACAGGCACTGCATTCATCCACAGAAACCCAATGATACACTGCATACGGGGCCAAAAGAAGACGCCTTACTGCAGATTTGTCGAGCTCTTGTGTGCTCCACTGGGCTAGCTGGCTGATGACGGTGACGTGGTTTTTCTCAATTGCCAGATGAATCGCAAACTTGCCACTCTGTACATTTACACAGCCCATATATTTGATTCTATTTGCTGATGTCTGGCTCCTTACCGAGGTCTGTTGCTCCAACAACTCTTCGCCCTTTTTCGCAAACATTGCCCTCATCACGTCAAGGTGACCACGACGCGCCGCGAGGAGAAATGGTGTGTAATGGTACTGCAGCCACGCAAGTAATCAGAGAGCTGCCTAGTGATTCATCTCCCTTCCAGCATACTGTGTTGCTTCTCTTCAACTCTTCTTCTCCTCCCCACTTGATGAGCTGATTCGTTGCATCGACATGGCCCTGACAGGATGCCAGATGGATTGGATACAGCTCCACCCAAGTAACCTGTAGCCACACACAGAGCAAATGACCGCCTGTCGATGGCTGAAATGCTTGTACACTTACATTGTCTGCCCGTCTTTTTTCGATGGCGTTGTCAAAACCGGTGGAAAAAGTACATTGAATGTCACGAGCTTCAGCTTCAGCTCCAGCTTTGTTCAGCTTCTTTGTCTCAGTATAGTGAAAGCTCTTCTGCAAGAGAAGCACCAGCAGGATTCTGTTTCAGTAGGCGGCAGTGGTATATTCTTTACATCTGCATGTTGTGTGAGGAGGTCCTTTCCGCCAACATCATATAGCACCTGCATCACTTCGACGTGACCGCTGTACGCAGCTCTGAGGAATGGTGTGCTTGCATTCTAAAGAAGGAGACAAGTAACACACGCAGTGTCAGACGAGGACTAGTTCTTTATTCTGAGCTGACTGCGTCGCGTCTGTGCAGCTCCTTCTCGCCTCCCCAAGTCAATATCTGCTCTACGGCAGCGACGTGATTCTTATGAACTGCCTCATGGATGGGGAAGAAACCATCCTGTTGGAACCCACAACAAGAAGATGCAGCTTTGTGCCTTCGTTTTGTGTGTGTGTGTGTGTGTATGTGTGTGTGTGTGTGTGTGTTTGTTTACCAGGGCATAATCTTCCAACAGCACTTTGCCTCGACCTTCAAACATCACCTTCATCACGCCAACATGGCCATTCCGTGCGGCATACGCGAACGGGGTTGCATACTCCTGCAATGCCATTGTCAATTCATTGTCAATTCTCTTCGTAGCCCTTGACAACTCGTTCACCTTGTCAGTGAGCGACAAGACTTTGTGACGGTCCTTTTCTGGCTCGAGAAGTGCCATGACGACTGCCGTATGACCCTTTTCGGCCGCAAGATGCATGACAGTGGGTTTGTCCTGACAGAAAGCAAGAGATGATGTTGTAGTGGGTACCATTGGTTCTGTGCCATTGTATGTCTCATGTGACCTTTACTTCTGCATGCATTTTGATAAGATTGGTGCCGCCAGCAGCTACAATCGCCTTGACAACCTCAACGTGGCCATTCTGTGCGGCATAGTGTAATGCGGTGAAACCGTCCTGCAATGGATTAGTCACTCATTGAATGCGCGTCATCTTTTCCTTCGAGCTCCATTATCACCGCATCGATCTCCTGCACACTCTGGACACCATGCGCTTCGACGATTTGCAGCACAGCATCTGTATTGCCCTCTGCACAAGCCTCGAACAGGCTCATCTGCAAAAGGAATACATCGTGGTGGGTATTGGTATCTTATTTGGCTGACCTTCTTAGTCGGCCGACTGCATTTCCACAGAGCCTCGATTGGTACACCGTTCTCTGCCTTCGCCATCACCAGACCCTTGCCCTTGCCAGATGCCTTCGCACTTATGACATGGTCTGACGACCCGAAACACTTGAGGGCCACATAGTGGTCATCAAATTTGCTGCTTCCCCTCCTCTGCCTCTGCTCAAACTGCATGTCGAGCGACGCAACCAGCTGATCCTTGGAGGGCTGACAGCAGCAGAACAGGCCGCACACACCTGCTCCTGCCCGTCGGCTGCGCAATGTCCTCTATCTCGACTGGAACCATGATCCACTGCTGATACTTCGCCTCTTCCTCACTGATTGTGGGTGAGGCCAGCACAAGCTTGTTGCCCATCATAGTGCTCAATGCAAGCGTCTTATCGGGAAACGCCATCGGCAGCAAACGAAAGGCGTCCGCAGGACACAGCCCATCGACTTGCCGCATCCACAGCTGCGAGTGCTCGGCCTCCTCATGTATCTCACGGCTCTTCTTCTCCTCCAAACCGACTGACACGCCAAGACCCGCGCTCTCCACGGCGGTCAAGACGAGCTTCGTGCTGAGATTGTTGAAGCGAAAGGCGGACTCTTTGGCTTTGATATTCGCCTCCTCGAGAGCATCCACCGGAGAGAAAGGTGGATTGGCCTACATGCAGGCACACAGAGACATCATATTGCGAGATAAATGGAGGAGTGCATGCTCACCCTCTCAATGACAATGCCGTTGGGGTACTGCTCTGGATGTATGAGGTGGTTCAGCAGCTGAAAGGCCTCAGAGTCCTCAATGATGATGGAGATGAGGGGGGAGTCGAGGCTTGCCACAATGGCCTCTTTGCCAGGGTCAATAGCCGTCCTGAACGTGCACGTGGCAGGAGACACATAAAGCCTCGGTGGAATGCTCTTGTGTCCTTACCAGCCGGGCGAGTCCTTTAGTTTGGCGTACTGGATGTGAACAAAGGTCCTCTCCTGTTTCTTCTCGCCTGAATGCGTCAAATCACACCCTCATCTCTCGCGTCACCACTCTCTACGCGTGCCGCTTACTTTTTTCGTTTCCTTTGCTCGCCTCCACGCTGATTTCCACGCCACCAAATCCCCCTGTCATGCCGCCCTCCAGTGTCATCTTGTCCTCCTTCTCCGTGGCCATCTCGATCTCCTGCTCCACCTTCTCGCGATGCCTCGCCTCAACCACACGAACGTACACACGACTGAAGGCCTTGTTCACACAACGCAGGCTCAATTTGTCACTTGTGAGGGGGCTGCGGGGTGGCGAGGCCATCCCCACTGCGGGAGAGGCCATTTTCCGCGATGGGAGGGTGTGGAGAGATTTGGGGCCCGAGTACGGGCGCAGCGATCGCTGTTGTCAGAAGTGTATGAGTGATGCAATCAATGGCATACACATGTGTACCTATGCGCGAAGTGTTGATTGCTTGATGAGTGTGCGCCGATGGAATGCGTCACGTGACAGCAGTCGGTTGCGAGGTCAGGTCTCTTCTCTGTCTGTCTCTTTCTGTCCGGCTCGTCTCTTCATCCGCAGCAATAGCAGCAGCAAGCGAGCAGCAGTTCCATGCAACACAACCCACCCCAGTGACCCCACCCCGTGGCCACAACAAATACCACCCACCCAGCGCAGTGAGAGAGAGTCTCCTGTCTGCCTGTCCGCATGTCTGTACACTTAATGCATCATATCCCTGGCCCTGAATGAATGAATGAACGAACGAATGAGTGTGTGTGTGCTTACATAAACGAGTACCCCCCTCCCTGAGGCTCTCTGCCCCCCCCCCCCTTTGTCAACAAATAGACCGGTCGGCTATCCATTGGATGCAATCCCGTGCTGATAATATGAAAATCTCATTCATCAATCACAACCACAATCACAGAATCGGCCACTCAGTCAGTCAGTCTGTCTGTCTGTCACCCAGTCACTCAGTCATGTGATGGAGAAAAATGCACAGCAGCTAGACAGCAACTAGCAGACACCTGCTCGTGTGTGTGTGTGTGTGTATGTGTGGAATCGTGGAAAACTGTGTGTGTGCGCAGGGGGGAGGGGGGGCAAAAGGGGGGAGGGGGATGGTGTGTACTGTACATGTGTTCATGTGTGTGGTGGGTGTCTCGCCTTCAATCCTCTCATCATCTCTTGTCGTCATGGGTGCGGGTCGAGTCCTTCTTGTCTCTGCTCTCCTTGCTGCCGTCCTGCAGCTCGTCGCTCTCGCCACGTGTCGATATCCTGCACGTGGGCACGCACCACACACACACCGACATATAAATGGGTGCACACGAGTGCGTGTGAGTGGTTACGTGAGTGCCGGTGGAGGTGGGAAGGATGGTTGACGCTGAACCTGCACCAATGCACACACATACATGTGGGCGAATGATTGACAGAATGTCCGGCTGGCTGACCATCATGGGCGAGTGGAAAGGCGACATCAGCACCGGCTCTGTCACCGGCACAGGCGGCCTGCACACACGTACACACACTGGGTGGGTGGGTGGATAAATGGAGGATGAATGGACCTACACTTGTATGTCGCTGAGTCTCCTGGGGGTCATGGGTGTGGGGAACCGCAGCTCACCGCCACCGCCACCCTCAGCTGCACACACACACAACACACCCACACACACACAGGGATACACACACACACACATACATGAACCTGTGTATGTGGATGCATCAAAGCACCTGGTTTTTCTTGTGTCGTCGATCCGATGTTGCTTGGGGGCACGATGTGTCTGCGGAACACTGGCAGACCCTCCTCATCCCCTGCACATACACAGACACACACACGGGCAACATGTGGTATCTCTATGTCTCCCTCTCGGCTGCGTGTGTGTACGTTCGTAGTGCGGTGGCGGGAGCAGGTTGGTCAGTGGTGCCTGTGTTAGACGCCGCGACACCTCTATGCCGGGCAGGCCGTAAGCCAGCGATGCAAACGGACGGATCTCAGGCACATCCTAACACACACACACACACACAAGCAGATGGTGCATCTGCAGAGTGGTGGTGTCAATATGAGTCTGCTCGCGCACCATTTCGACCATATCGAGGTCGACGTGCTTGAGGATCCGCCCGGCACGGGAGAGCATCCGCACACACTCCGACGACAGCCCCTGGTCGCACCACATTCACGCAGACACGCACGGACATGGATGCACATCAGTATGGGTGTGCGGTTTCGGCACGCACCTTGACGCGCACAGTCTTCTTCCGTTTCTGGTACTCGCGCTTGACGGCGTTGATGCTGACAGAAAGAGAGACAGAGACAGAGAGATACGGATGGATGCACACAAACAGATCTACACGTCTGTGTGTGTGCGCACCTTTCCAGCGCTGAGTAGTCTGCGAGCCCCGACCGACGCAGCACGATCACTATGTGCTGCACACCACGCACACATACACACACATACACAGAGAGATAGGCCTGCATGTCACACGTGTATGTGTGTGTGTTGGCGGGGAGGGGGGAGGGGGGAGAAAGGGCTCTCACGCACATCGGGGTCGTTGTCATAGTCGAACATGCTTTCAAACTTGACCTACGGAGTGTCGACACGGACACACACGTGATAAATGTGCGCACGTCATGGGTCTCTCTGTCTGTGTGTGGGGGTCTGCCCACTTTCGATCCAAAAAAGACGGGGCCTGAGACCTCATAATACTGACGCGGACACACACACACACACGGAGCGAGAGAGAGAGGGAATGAGACGAATGTATGTGTGTGTGCGAGGGCGTATACACAGAGTGTGTGTTTACTTTGGTGCCCTCAATGGTCGAGCAGTCGACGGACATCCGCCGCTGTGAGTCCCACGCAAACACCAACGCGCTGATGAAGATGCCTACACACACACACACACACACACAGAGAGAGAGAGAGAGAGATAAACGAACGCATAACTTGCGTCTCTGTGCTGTGTGTTGGTACCGAGTCCGATTGAGATCATGATATTGGTGAACACCGTGACCAGCGTGACAGCGAGAATGACTAACGCGTCCCATCGACGAATCCTCTGCACACACCAAACCCACCCAATCACACACACAGAGGGTATGAGAGAGAGAGAGAGAGAGAGGGCTCTGTGTGTGTGTGTGTGTCGCACAGACACCTGGTCGAAGATGCCCCGTCTGAGAAAGGGCGGGAGGAAGGTGCCGATCACCATGGGAATGGAGTACCTGTGTGTGCATGTGTGTGTGTGTGTGATTCACAGATATACACAAACACGCGTCGATGTCATGTGTGTGTGTGTGTTGGGGGAAGGTCTGTGTGTGTGTGTGTGTGTGTGTGCCCCAAGGCACCCACCATCTGAAGGTGTGGAAGACGACCACAAACATGATGCCCGACAGTGCCGCCATGGGGATGTAACTGTCCGGACATTCGTATCACACACACACACACACACATCCCCATGTGTGTGTGCCGGTGTGTTTGTGTGGGAGTAATCTCACTTGAGGATCTCGTAGCCGCCCGTGAGGATCAGGAACACACAGATGGACGTGACCAAACCGGCTTCCTTGCCCGTCGACCCGTTGCGGCAGTTCATCACCGACAGCCCGATCATCGCGTCACCGCCTATATCAACACACACACACACACGTACACGTGTGTGGGTATGGATGTGTGTGTGTGTGTCTGAGTGTGTGTGGCGTACCCATTGTGCCGAGCAGTCCGGCGAAGAAGTTGCCCACCGCAGTGCTGCACACGCACACACACATACACACACACGCCCACACAAGCACGTGGCTCACGTGTGTGTGTGTGTGTGTGTGTGTGGGTCATAGGTACCTACCCGAACATCTGTTGGTCGCCGTCGTATGGGGTCTTCTGCAGGTCTGTCAGTCAGGTTGGTCGCACACACAGGGAGGGAGGGTAGAGGCACTATAGCGCTCACATACACACAGATGCGTACCAGCGACCACTTCAGTGGTCATGAGGTTCTCCATCGTGGCCACGATAAACAGAGTCACACCTGAACACACACACAGGCCCGCACTCTCTCTTTCTTTCCTTCTCCCACTCTGTGTAAGCGTGTGCATGCCCTCGACCCACCTTGTGTAATGACGGTCGTCCGCCCCTCCGCCGACCCCAATAACTCTTTCGCCTTTGTCGTGGCTGCACACACACACACACACACACACACACATGGACAGACAGACGTCCGTAGGCAGGTACCTACCGGTGGCCATGTCGTATCGTGAGTCAATCCAGAAGGGCAAAGGGAAGGCCTGTGTGTGTGTGTGTGGACAAACACACACACACACACACACATACGTTCATGTCTCTCTCTCTCTCTCTGTGTGTGTGTGTACTTTGTCTCTGGTGAGTGGCGCCACGTCGTCAACGGTCAGTGTCTCGCTCCCGAACGCTGCGATGCATTGCGATGCGATGCAGCCACACACGGAAACACAGATGTGTCTGTCTGTCTGTGTGTCTGTGTGTCTGTCTGTCCGTCTGTGTATCGTGCGTGTGGGTGTGTGTACCAAGTCTAACGATGAGGAATTCAAAGGCAACGGAGGAAGCCTGCATGCATCATACGCAACACACATTCGCCTGTGTGTGTGTGTGTGTGTGTGGACGCACCACAGCGACAAGTGAGGAGGGAATGAGCTTCCCGACGACGGGCACCCTTGTGAAGAACTCCATCTGCACACACACACACACACATACGGACAGGTGGGTGCACACAAACTCTCTCTCTCTCCCGCTGTGTGTGCGTGTGTACGGTGATCATGGCAAGCAGACACAGAATCGCCATAAACACCGCCTGTGCGCACACAAACACACACACTCGCACACATGGATGCATATGGATGAATCTGTGTATGTGCATGGCACGGCACCCACCGTCTTGCCGGTGACCCACGTGTGCCCAGGGCCCATCTGGAAGGGGTGCAGCTGCGCCAATCCTACACACGATATACGTACGTATACCTACTGTCAGTACGTGTGGTGTGCATGCTGTCGGTAAGATAAGAACGTACCGATAACGATGGCCAGGCCGTTGACGAACCCTGCACACAGACAGATCATAAGCGGGTGAAGGTGCGTGTGTGTCTCTCTCTCTCTCTCTCTGTGTGTGTGTGTGTGTGTGCGTACCGATCATGACAGGAGTGGGGACCAGCTGTATCAGTGACGCCAGCCGCAGCAGGGCGAACAGAAACCTGTGTGTGTGGGAGGTGTGTATGCGTGTTTTGATTGGGGATACATCCATCCATCCATCCACGCATTGCATTCGTGCTGTGTGTGCATGGCATGGCGCGTACATGAGGACGGAGGCCACGAGCACCGACAGAAAGAGGGCCTCTGCTCCTGCAAACAGGAACACACACGCATTTTCCTCTATCTCTCTCTCTCTCTCTCTCTCTGTGTGTGTGTGTGTATGTGTGTGTGGTCGGCCGCACCCCCCCACAGACCCACTGACCTATATATTCACAGTGGGCATCGTGTCCGTGGCCCTCACACTTCTTCTCGATGTACGTAGACACCACTGTTGCAGAGCACCCATCCAGCACCACACACACACACACAAAATGTGCACGTGTCACTGTCCCTCTCTCCCTGTCCCTCTTTGGCTGCGTGTGTGTGCGTGGTATGCCTACCAGCTGCAACCGCCCCAGTAACGCCGCTAATCAGACCTGCACACGCACACACTCACCAGTGGACCCATCCGTGCATGTGTGTGTGTACCCACACCCACACCCCCACCCACACACCGGTTCTGTTGCCGAGAGCCGTGGCGAAGAGGCCCACTATCCATGTCGCGTGCAGACCCACCTATATTGACACACACATACACACACACACACCATCAACTCAACGTGCTTCGTGTGTGTGTGTGTGTCTGTCAGCGTGTGTGGCTACCGAGGGGTCGAGATTGGCCATGAGGGAAAAGGCCATTGTCTCGGGCACCTGCAGACACACACACACAGAGAGAGAGAGGACACATGTGACTGCGAGTGCGTGTGTGTGGGATTGGGATGGTGTGTGTACCTACCTGTGCGAAGCAGACGATGAGGCCGCTGAGTATCTCGGTCTTCCAGTACTGCCACCCCTTCCCCACTCCCCAGCCCTGGACGATACCTTCGCACACACACACATATGCATGGATGGATGTGTGTGACAGGTATGGTCACACAGAGAGCTCCTCCGTATGATTGATGGGTTCAGTGATTACCTTTTGCGCAGTGAAAGGGTGAGTATTTCTCCGGGATGAGGGCGCCCAAATGCTGGACAGAAAAGTATCGCGGAACCCTACACACACACACACACATACACACCACACACGTGTCCATCTGTGTGTGCCGTGTGGGTGTAATTATCTGTGTGTGTACCTTTTCTCGGAGTCTGATCTCTTTCTGTGGTGCTCCACATGGCTGTGGGAGTGGTGGATGGACGGCTTGAGCAGATTAGAGTCACTGGATGCAACACACACCCATCCACACGGACGGACACACAAATGCGATGGATGCAGCGATAGATGTGCCCCTTCAAGAAGTGCGTGTGCGTGTGTGTGTGTCCCACCTGTAAGTGTGCCAGTGTGAGGGATCCAGCATGACATTCTCGCTGCTCGTCGAGCGGGACAGGGGGTCATCAGGCGCACCGCCTGCGCGCGTGTCGACAACAACCACACACAAACGGGATCATGCGCCTCCAATCACACGGACACGGACACACACAAGAGGCGTACCTCTTCCCCTCTCCAAGTCGCTCTCGCTCACATTAGACACCGACCGTGGAGGAATCATCCTTCCGACTCAAAGGCCTCGATCCTCAATCAGTCACCTGCACAGACACACAGAGAGCGCACAGATACACACGAGAAGCGCACGAGGAGCAGGCGAATCTCTCTCTCTGAGCCCAGATCCAACGCGCGCCACCGCACAAACTGGTCATCGACACATGAACCGCTCACCGACAGATCAGCTGTTCTGACGAGCCCTCGGAATCGCATCTAGGCTACCTGAGCATCTACGGGGGGACCCAAGGGAAGGGTTTTGTCTGCCGGTCGAATCCCAATTGGGTTTCGTAGAAGCCCTCCTCTAACTCTTTCTGCCTTAAACCCGTTAGGGTTTAAACCCGTCAACCCTAAACCCTCTGCCTTTCGCTGCCGCGACAATGGGTGCGAAGATGGGGTGCCCGATAGATGATGTGTATGACGACGAGTGGGACGAGCAATTCGCCATGATTCACGAGGCAGTGTACCAAACCAAAATCAACGACTACCTCCCCTATCCCGGCGGACAGGGAGGCCCTGTGCGCGTGCATCAACAAAGATGATCACGTACGTGACGCACGAGAAACAAACAAACGCGCACACAAGTACACGTGTCGTGTGTGTGGAGTGAGATCACAGACGGTCAAGCAGGAGTGTTGGGAGGATTTCGCGAAGATCTGCGCGCAAATTGGAGCGCAGCAGGTGCTATGGCTCCGCCAGATGAAAGTCAGGGGCTGGGGCGAGGCACACGTCAGGTACGCAGCCAGGCCTACGACAAAGACAAACACAGACATACATACGGTTGGGTGGGCCGACGCGACTCATACGTGAAGACATGTGTGTGTGTGTGCAGAGCTCAGGAGCAGAGGGGAGAACGGCCAGAGGCGCCACAGCCAGCGGTGTGCAGTGCACGCACACACACATGGATGGATGTGTGTGTGTGTGTGTGTTTGGATGTGTGTGTGCGCAGGAGGATGGGATGTATTATCTACACGTAACGGTGCCTCCCTGGTCTGACGTGACACCTCAAGACACGGCCACCGAGCCAAGATCAGAGGTGGCCACTGGTCTGCTGCCGAGCGAGCGGGCTCACGCAGCTGCAACCCTCACCTTGCCCCTGCTCAGCCCAAGTACGCGGCAACCGCCCTCGCTTCCATCCCTGAGGTGGTCGGCCCCTCCTTCTCCCTCCCCTCCCTCCAGGACCGGCTACAGCAGCGCCTGACCGATCAACAAACCTGCCTGCCTTGTAAGCAAACGAACACACGACCGGCGCACTGCCCTCGTACAGGCAGATACATGCGACGAGCGCATCACATCCTCATGCGTGCTGTGTGTGTGTGTGTAGACTTGTCACTCAATGCGCTGATTGTCAAAGCCTGCGGGCGTATGATTCATGTCCACCGATGTTTGCCAGTCAATCAATCAGTCAGTCAGCACACATGTTTTTCAACCGTGCCAACCAACATTCGCTGCTTGTCTTTTTGGTCGGGCTGATGGGAACCGCTGTGTACTGTATCAGTATCGACCTGTGCGCTCTCGACCAGTGAGTGGTTGTATCGCCACCTTTTCTTTTGTGTTCGTTTCTTTCGTTTGCTCTATGCACAGTGTGATGTTCATGGCTTGATTGGTCAGACACGAAACCGACATGGTCAGTCAGACACGATATCAATGCATCTGCAATCCCTTCACATGTAATGTTATGTTATTAGTGCGATGGTCCGCCCGTCCGCCCGTCTGCTAACCCTACGGCTACGGCTACGCACCGGCAACACACACACAGACAAAACAATAACGAACGAGTCAGTCAGTCTACCTGATCTAGCTCATCGTCAAACCTCGGCTCTCCATCAAAATCTCCCTCACCCTCTCCCTCCCCCTCTGTGTACTGCCTCGCCAGCTCAGCCAAGTGCGCCTGCATCGCATCGGCGGCATCGATCTCCACACCACCACCACCAGCTGCCGCAGCGGCATCACCGGCTGCTTGCTGCTGCTGCTGCTCCTGCTGGGCGTTGCTGACACGCGCGAGTGCGTCACGGAGGCGGGCCAGGAGGGTCTGCATGGTGGGCAGGTTCACCGGCTGGGCGTGCAAACCTGCAAAGGGCAGGCAGACAGACAGACCAGACGGACACACAGACGTCTGTGCCTCTCTCCCTCTCTCTCTCTCTGTGTGTGTGGGTGGGTGTGGCATAGATATACACACACATACACACACCTGTCTGGTCGATTTGGTTCCAGGGCAGGAGTGTCTGGAGGAAGACCACCACCGGGTTGCTGTCCAGACTGACATTACCGCGCTCCCCATCGCCCATGCCGTTCTGCTGCCCTCGACGGGCGGGGATCCTCTGCTGCACTCCATCCATCCATCCATCCATCTGTGTGTGGGGGGGGGGTGTGTGTGCAGCGAGACGCACCTGCAGGATGAAGTCGGGCAGGGTGTATCTCTGCGCGAACTCTGACGGCCGGAGGTCTCGGTATCGCGCCATGTCCATCGCAAAGCGCGAGGCACACCACGACGTGCGAAACGCATCCAACTCGCCCGCAGCTGCACACACACACACAGAGACACACACGGGCACTGGCACATCCATCCCGATTGTGTGTGGTGCGTGGTGTGTGTTGGCTTACTGTCGGTGAGGTCGGCGTAGATGAATGCCAGATGCCCTGCACAGGAGTGGAGCACCCTCTGCACCTGCTCGGCCTTCCACAGGGCGCCGCTCTTGGCCACGTAGCACGCCACCATCACCTGCAACACGTCGCCGTGCCTGCAGACATCCATCCATCCATCCACATGTGTGTGTGTGTGTGTGTGTGTGCCTGTGGTTCATCATCTCACGTTCGGTGCTGCCATTTGGCGGCTTTGGCGTCGCCAAACGGTCTCGCGAACAGCAGGTCGCCCCAGGTCTTGCTCACATAGGCAGACCCTGCACACACAGACACAGACACGTGTATCTCCATTCATCCATCCACACCACACACGCGCCCATCCAATCCATTCCAAGGAACCGTGCCTGGGACTTTGTTGTGGGCCTTCGCGCTGGTGTGGTCGAGTATCTCGTGCAGGAAAGAGGGGAACAGCAGCAAAGCGCGACACAGACACACCAACGGGCGACTCGGGTCGTCGGATGCCGATTGGGGCGCTGAGAGGAGAGGTCGACAGACGGTGCGCATGGATGTGTGTGGCTGTGTGCGTGCAAGACGTACGTGTGTAAGGTGCTTGCAGGTCTGTGGGAGGCCAGGCAACGATGCGATCGATTGTCAGGCTCTTGACCAGCGACACGTCGACACCTGCACACACACACACACCCGCCCACACCCATGTGTGTGTTAATCCATCCATCCATCCCGCCCACCCACCAGAAGTGTTTTCCATGAGTGCGGCCATAGCCATTGAGAACGCAAAATTGGGCAGCATCCAGTCCAGCCGACACAGCTCAACCACACCCTCTCCCTCTCCCTCACCACCAGCGCCATCAGCGACGCCGTCCGCCGATGTGAGATGCGCGTGGGTGTTGTCCGTTGGCTGTGGTTGTGCTGCTGCTGTTGGTGCTGGTGCTGGTCCTGCAGCTGGGAGGGGTGATGATGATGTGTGTGAGGTGGAGCTGAGGGTGGGGGTGGGGGCTCGGGGGCCCTGCTGCAGATGCTTGACGTGCTGCGGGATGAAGGAAAAGGCAAAACGGTGCAGGAACGCATACGACCTGATCCACCCACAGGCAGACAGACAAAGGGATAGAGATGCGTGTGTGTGAGGGCTGGGCGCTCTCCCTTTCTCTGTGCGTGCGACTTGCCTGCTCCTGATAGCGTAGAAGTCGATGTGCAGAAGGGTGTGGAACCGGTCAGCAGCCATGTCCATGGCCAGCAGCAGCTTGGCCACCTCGAGTGCCGTCCTGTGCACCCCCTGGCTGCCCAGGCCGAGCATGTAGCTCCCCAACGCGTGGTACAACGGGATACTCTCGGGCAGCGCCGAGCTCACACGCACCTAAACGACCCACACACACACCCCCACACACCCCCACACACGCATACAGCCAATGAGAGAGGGCGTGTGCTGTGTTTTGTGTGTGTGCGTGCCTGTGGTAGGTTTGAGCCTGGTGTGGTGACGAACGGGGAGAATTTAGGGTGGAAGCCCCACTCGAGCGCATAGAGGGCTCTCTTGCACAGGTCGAACGCTGTCTCGTTCTCCGACTGCACAAACACCACACAGACAGACAGGACAGAGAAAGGGGATTCCACCTCTGTGTGTGCCTCTGTGGGGGAGTGAGCGTGTCTATGTGTGTCGGCCGTTCGTTGACCTGTGCTCTGTAGATCTCGCTGAGCTGCAGGAGTGCGTCGACGTGGAAGGGCTCTCTGCTGATGAGGTCCACCAAGGCGTTGGGGTCGTGGGTCTCCACACACTCGTAAAACTGCTCCTGCACAGACTGGTACCTGCACACACACACACCACCATGGCACAACATGACACACCCACACCCCCACACGCACCCGACCCACCTGGAGTTGGCAACGAGTTTGAACTCAACACCAGCCGATCCTCCCTCTCCACCTCCCCCTCCCTCTCCGTGTTGCTGCTGCTGTCCGCCCAGCATGTGCATCTCCAGCCCCTCCCTAGCTGGCGGCCAGGTCTCCTCCCCCGTCTGCAGCCACATCCGCCGCCACTTGGCCTGCACCACCTGGCTGTAGTGCGCCCGCTGCCGCCCTCTCGCCCTCCCCCGCTGCTGCTGCTGGTCCGCCCCCTGAGTGCGCGCCACCACCGACGCGCCGAAGATGCGCTTCAGCTCGTTGTCGGGGTTGAAGGCCGCTTTCTCCATCGACAGGCAGGACGGCTGCTGCTGCTGCCGCTGCTTGGTGTGTGTGGCGGTGGTGGTGGCGGCCATGGCGTCTTCTGCTGATGCTGATGCGGTTGCTGAGGCGTCGAGCTCCTCTATGGCGGCGTCGATCTCGTCTGTGTGTGCGTGTGTGTGAGGGGAGGCGGAGGGGGAGGGGGAGGGGGAGGGCTGCTTGTTTCTGTCATGTTTGTCTTGTTTTTTCTTTTTGCGCTTCTTCTTTCCGGAGGCCGCTGGAAGAGGGGGACTCTCAGACAGAGCCTGAGCCTGCACAAGACCACACAACCACAACCAGCACCCCAACACACTCACACGGAGAGGTGACATGCACACATCAAAAATGGTGTTTTCTTCTGTTGTGGTCTGACTCGCCTGCGGCTCGTCATCTCCGTCCTCCTTCTGCTCCGGTTCCTCCTCTGCATCTGGATCGTCGCTGTCAGCTATGTCATCCATGGCCATCAGGAAGGCCGACCGGGGCCTCTGCGCCACCGGCGTCGACTCGTCCTCACCGCTCTCATCGCCATCACCTTCGCCGCCGGCATGATCCTCCTCTACTAGCTGCTGTTGCTGCTCGCGCAGCCGCAAGAGCTTCTTCAACTGCATCAGTCGTCATCCAACACACACAATCCAGTGTCGCACAAAGGCGTCCAGCAGGTTTGCTATCGGTTTGCTGTCCTCACCTGCTTCGATGACATCTTCCAAACCGCCGCTTCCCCTCTTTCTCTTTCTCCGCTTCTCCGCGAGCTATAGTGCAAGCTCGCTCCTCAACGGCGTCGCCAAAACGACGAGAAGATAAGCCGCGACAGAAGGACCGTGCAGCCCGCCCGACGCATCTGCCCATCCGCCCTTCACACTCAGCCCACAACCCAGATCTCCGACCGACCCTCTCGTCGCCCGGTCCTCCCCTCCTCATATTCACTCCAAACGCACACCAGCGATGTCGGGGTTTTCAAGAATAGCTAAGCTCGGCCTCGTCGCCGTGGTGGCGCTGCTCTCCTTGCCCGCCGACGCCCTGAGTAAGAGACGAATGTGTGTGTGGAGAGATGACAGTTAGCACACAGACGGGCGAGACGGGCGGGCGGCGGGCAGAGAGGGGGGTGCAGGGCAGCTAGAGCAGTGTGAAGGTGGCGGCAGGGGCACTGGGGTCGAAAGGCGTGATACTTGTGAAGTGTCCGTTGAACGTTTGTGCGGCGTGTCTCACTCGTGTGTGCGTGTTGTGTGTTGTGCTTTGCAGGAGAGTTGCAGCCTGAGGGCGAGTGTCCCAACAGGGTCACCAACGACCAGGGCTGCCTCGACCAAGGCGAAGATGTCAACGAATCAAACTGCGGTACGTCATTTGAGAAGAAAGTGGGCATCACAGAACACACCCACCCCACCCCACCACACGCCCTCTCTGTGTGTGTATGTGTGTGTGTGTGTGTGTGTGGGTGGGTGCGTATGTGTGTGTCAGCTGCCAAGGGCTGCTGCTGGGAGCCTGATAACCCAGCGGGCGTCTTCTGCTACACCAGAGGCCCCGCAACCGCAGCTGAGCCCGGTGGAGAGGGCGGCGACCAGGGTAAGTGACACCCACCACTCCTTTCCTCCCTCCCTCCCCCTAACCCCCTCACACACCCTGTACGTGTGTATGGCTGTGGCTGTGGTGTGGTGTGGTGTGGTGCAGGTCCCCTGCAGGCGTTCCCCGGTCAGATGGGCGACGACGTGACACTGCCTGAGGCCGAGGTGGTGGCGGAGCAGGACCCAGTGCTGCCCGTCATCGACGACGAGGCCGATGAAGAACTCATCGACGAGGGTACACTCTTCTACACACACACATGGCCACATCCATCCATCCATCCATCCATGTGTTTCTGGTGTGTGTCTTGGTTTGTGTCTGCTGCAGATGTGACGACTCCTCCTGCGGCCGAGGCCGAGCTGGACAGCACCCCCGCCCCCGTTGACGACATCCTCGTCGACGACGAGGAACTCGCTGAAGTCACAGCCGGTCAGTACCCTACCCCCACCAGCCCACACCCCCCACCCCACACCCCACACAAACACAAGCACCCATCGACCGATCTGTGTCTTTGGGTGGCATGGCATGGCATTCAACAGCTCCCAATGTCACCGAGGCCGAGAACGAGACAGACACCGACGCAGGGACAGGCGACTCAGAGCCCGTAATGGACCAGATCGCCGGCGGCATCGACAGTGCGATCAACACGGTCAAGGAGGGCGTCAACAGCGCCGCCCAGGAGGTACGCGACTTCTTCACGGGCGGCGACAGCAGCAGCGAGCAGGAGGAATCAGCCGAGGATGCTGATGCTGAGGTCGCGGCGAGCAGCGCCGAGGAGACGACCAACGGCAGCAAGGGCGACGCTGAGAGGGAGGCGGAGACCACCAGTGACGGCTTCAGGTTCACCGTGGGGTTCGCCATCGTCGCCAGCTCGCTCGTGTCGCTGCTGCGGATCTAGTCTCGTCTGTCTCTTGACACACGGTGGCGGGAGGGTGGACGGATGGATCTATTTATGCACGGCTGCATGACTGCATGGAAGGGGAGTAGATAAAGGGGAGAGCGAGGGGGGGAGGGGGGGGACCAACACAACCTGGGTGGAATGGCTGGCCTGATCTTGTCTCTCCTTGTCTCTGTTGTCTCCTTGTCTCTCCTGCTCTGTCTCTCTCCGGTTTTTCTTTTTTCCGCTGACTGTCTGGATGGATGTGTGCAGATGGTTGGTCTTTTTGGGGGGGGAGGGGGGGTGGGATGTTGTGAAGACCTTGACCTCGAGAGGGGGGGTGGGGTGGTTGTGGTGGGGGTAATGTTTGTGGTGTGAGCGCATGCTTTCTGCGTGCATTGTGGATTGTCGTTGTGCGTGTGTGGTGTGGTGGCCCCCCTGTCTGGCGCATTGTCGAAAACAAGAGAATCTGTCAGCTCAGGGGGGCGTGCATGGTGCCGTGTTTGTGTTGATGTGCGGATGTGGATCACTCCCTCACTGCCTGTAGGAGGTCTAATTAGCTGCGTACGTGCTCGTGCCTGCGCGTGTTGATTCTGTCTGTCTGTCTGTCGTGTGTGTAGCGTGCGTGTGGTTGTGGTTGTGCAGCTTCCTGGCTGGCTGGATGGATGGATGGATGGCGGATTGCGTGAAGTGTCTTGTCCTCTTCTCGATGCTCTCCTCACCCCCACACACACAAGATGTCGCCACCAGTGAGAGCCACGTCGGTATGTCGCGTAGATGCGGTCGGGTTTTTGTGTTTTGTGGAAGAACGAAAGAACGAAAACACCAGTCGAACTCAGCCCACCTCAGCTCAGTTCTCCTATCGCACTCCCGCCCGCTTTTCTCGCATACTGCCTGCCTGCCTGCCTGCCTGCCTCTGTCATAGCCTAGCTGCACCGTGTGTGTACGTGTAGGTGTGTTGTGTGCATCTCTGACTCCCTCATCCCTATATATGTGCCTTCCTTCATCAGACGTCCGTTCCTTTTGTTTGATCTATCATGATACAGATGGTGTGTGTGGGGATGTGTACGTGCGTGTCTCTCGAATTGTATACCTTTTCGCGTGCTATGTGCTATGTGGTGGTGGCCGGGCGGCTCGACGGGTGGAGGCAAGAGGGACCACAACACACCAACACATGGATGGATGGACGGATGGATGGATGTGTGTTGCGCGTCTTCTCGTCTAGTCTGCTCGTCTCTGATCTGTGAGCACCCGACCTGGACAAGTCGAGTGATCATCTGTCAGGGGAGGTGGCGCGAAGACGAGAGGGACACAACACACAGAGAGATCCGCAGAGTGCAAGCCAGGGATGAGCCAGTAACGATCAACAGTGCTCTTTTCCGTCGGTGAGAGTCCGTTTTCTCGCCTCCCTAGTGTGTCAGTGGCAGGGGCTCAGCTGAACGAAAGAGCGGGGCGGACATACCTCGCTCTATCGTTCATCTGGGAATCTGGCACGCACACATTAGGGGGCGAATGGGCTGAGACGTGAGCAGCAAAGACAAGAGCAGAGAGGAGAAGAGATGGATACGAGCTTCGTGGGTGTGAGGGTGGATGTCTTGTGACCTCCTGTGATGTGCCTAGTGCTGGTTAAGCCCTCATCATGCTCAGCTAGAGCTCAGGTCGAGCATCGTCGAGCGAGCTTTCTCGGAGCATGATGGGAGCCAGAACCAGCACAGGCACACACGGGGGAGGAGGGACGAGTGAGAAGGGAAATGTGTACCTGTGGCGTGATGAGCACTCTGCGTGTCGGTATGTGTGTCTTGGTTTTCGGTTTACTCCTTCATGACGCGCTGCGGCTGGCTGGCTCTTTGTTGACCGATCCACACACACACACACGCGGACACACACAGACATACGTGCCGCCCTGAGAGCCGTTTACGTGTGACCTGGATGATGCCCACACACGTGCCTGCCTGCCTGCCTGCCTGCTCGGTCAGAATTATTTGCATTCAAGTCAGTGTAAGTGTGAGTGACGACGCTCAGGGGAGGGGAGGGAGAGGGGTGTGGTGTGGTGAATGCACTTCATTGTTGGTATGTTGTGTGCGTGGGGTGGGGGTGATGGGGGGGTGGATACAGACCTAGCAGCTATCACCTTTCTGACAATTCAACCAACGCGATGTCACCAACCACCGGTGCCACAATTCTTGCTCTAGAGATTTGTCATTTCGTGAACTCATGCAGCCAGCCATTCGGTCACGTACAGCAGTAGCAGCAGAGCACACGGATGCGCACTCACGCAAGTGGCACCGCAGAATCGCTTGCATGTCAGGCGCACTAGTATTAGCTCATGGATTGATCAACCGCCGCTCTCCGCCTCAGCTTCGCCACCGTCACCTGCCGAGGGCACCACACACACACACACACACACACACATGTATGTATGTGATGGAGGTCGACATGAGGGCCTCTGTGCTGTGGTGCGTTCCTTCGTACCTCCGCTGCCCTCTTCGCTGCCCTCATCCGTATCGTCACCCTCATCGCCATCGTCGGAATCTGCAGACCACACAGAGAGAGCGCCCGTCTGGCATCCATCCATCCATCCATCCATGTGTGTGTGTGTCCGTACCGTCGTCATCATCCTGCTGTTGCTGCTGTTGCTGCTGTTGCTGTACTTGTCCGTCGAAGACGTATGGCGCCACCGCCCTCAACACCATACGAGCCAGCTGAGTGGTCACCGGGAAGCGGTGCTTGAAGGCACCACTACCACACACAGCCGCCTCAGTCGTGTAGACACTAACCCAGACTGCACACAAGGGGACGGAGAACACTGATGACATTGACATGCAGAGCTCCCTCTCTGTGACTTTGACCGGTGTTGTTCGCTTATCTGGTGATGCAAATCCATGCGACGAAGGGATGACTGCTGTTGGTCAGCACCAGCCGTCGCTCATCACCGTGCAGCCCGAGTGTCGTGGTGCAGCCGGCCACTGGTGTATGGGGCGACTCGGTCAGCAGGTCGCCCAGACGACCGCCACCGACAACCCTGAACAAAACACAGACACACACACAATCAACGGCGCTCCCCTCTTGCCTTCAGTGCCATGTGGTTGGTGTGTTACCTGTTGAGTGTGATCGATGTGTCATTGGTCTGGTGAGTCTCGCTGAAGTGGTGGAGGACCATGTACTTGGCCAACGACGACACAGACGCATGGGGGTACGCGCCAGGGATCGACACCCATCCGGCGTTGGCGGTCGAGTAGTAGATGCTCTCACGCACCGGTGGGTCGTGTGGCTGTCGGTGCTGCTGGTACAGGTGGCCGGCAGGGAGGGGCGGGTCGACCTCCAGCCGGAAGCCGGGCTCGTCGATGATTGCCCGCACCTCACCATTGTGTTGGAACAGCTGCAGGCAGCTGTCGTCACTGAAGTGGATGTGGTGGCCGACCATCTTGAGCTGCGCCAACACACGGGGAGCCGACACATACGCCTACACACACGACCACACACAGACACACAGACAGACAGAGAGAATGAGGCCCTCTCCCTCCCCTCCCCGCCCCTCTCTTTGCTGGCTCACCGTTTTGTTTGCGTGTGTGTTGATGTCATCGGCTGTGAGGATGACAGGCAGGTCACAGCTGCCGCACTGCCCCGCCACCTCAATCACCTCGCCCATCTCGTCCCAGCCCCCCTCCTCCACCACACACACAGCCGCCAGCAGATCATGTGTGCCGAACTGCTCGTCGTCGAACCGCAGCAGCTGCACTTGCTGCCCATTCACCGCCCGCCGCAGCCCCGCCTGTGAGCCCAGCGAGTGGCGGAGCCGATCTCTCAGCTGGGCCGCTCTGAAGAGGCCTCTCAGCCACGTGCAGGTGGCCCTCAGCCGCAGGATGTCCTTGATGCTGCTGAAGAGGTAGAAGGTGCGGCGGCCGACGAAGATATACGAGAAGGGATGCTGCTGCTGCTGCTGTTGCGGTGGCTGCATCTGGGTGGCTATGATGTGCTCGACGACAGCCTGCACAGAGCGACAGAGCCGACAGAGGATCGTGTGCATCAAGCATGCTGCTCATTGATCTGTGTGCTCACCTCGTTCGACGCTCAGATGGACAGATCAGCATGCAGAGAACTGAATGCACCACCACCACCACCAGCAGCGGCAGATGAGGAGGCCGCCATCACTCCTCAACGACACGGCTGCAGCGATAGGCCGACAGCCACAGAGAGAGAGATGCCAACGGAAAAGGACGGCGAACGCATTGAGGCCAATGGATCAGTGAGCGCATGAGTGAGTCAGTCAGTGAGTAGTCGGCCTCCCTCACCTCTGTTTGGCTGTCAACTCAATGGCCCGCCATCTCACCGCATCAGCCGAGAGGGACGACTGACTCGAGTGATTCCTCTCGCCCTCTTGTCGGCCGAGTGCGTCACTCTCGCAAACGCACAGCTATCCGACGAGGCGCACAGATATACATCTCATTCGTTTATTTCAACGTCGTCCTCGGGTGGGCTGTGCGTTGACCCCGGTGGAGATGAATGAGGACTCAGCGGCGAGAGTGATCCAACGGTCGGCGAGAGCGTCTCTGTGGCGGCGACGAGATCAAGGACTC